GAAAGCAGCATTGATTAAAAAAAAAAAAAAGAATAATGCCTGCTATTAGACTTTTTAGATACAAATGTATTTGATAAGTGGCCTGACAATCTGACTGGAATCGCAGTGTAATAATTATTTGGCTAAAACATTTACAACCACTGGTGTTTTCATTTAATTTGTTTTTATGTATCAAAGTCCCTATGAATATGCAAATTGTGTTCATTTCTAAAGTTTTCCTGCTGGACACAAGATGTCTCCTGCTTCACTGTTAAGTCCATTATAAGTGTTTGTGTGCTGGTGGCTTCAAGGTTCTACATCACACTAATATTTGAGATGTCACAAATCATGTTTGCGGGTCCTCCCCTTAAAAATCTGATTTTTGGTTAAATACATGTTTGACATTATGTCGGTATACACTGAGACACGTTGTATTTTTATTGATTATATGTTCCTAGGTGTGTACGCAGAGTGGGGATCTCTCTGGAGGAAGCTGTTATAACGAGAAGTGTTTGCACTGTTTTCTGTAGACGTGGGGGTGAAGGTAAATTTGACTCTGAGACTCAGGATCTTCTTCACTTCGGGATCAGCTCTAGCAGGTTTTGCAGAGTAAGAGGCTGTGGATGGAATCTTCCAGAAGCTCTGAGGTATGAAGACAAAACACAGATTAGGTTGTTCAGTGTCACCCAGCACACGTTATAGTGAAGCCATCACTGATGCCAGATGGGGTCTAATGAGGAATGGCTCAGTCCACACAGCAGCAGCAAGGCAGACACACAGCGCTCCCCTGGGGGCCTACTGAGCATGTGCAGCCAGACAGGAAGCAGGTGTTTGGTTTGTTGATGAGCACGGCCCGTGTGTGCAGTCATCGCTCCAGTCATGCTACAGCTCATTCAGCCTTCAGAAAGAGGCTGGGTGGGGGATGCTGCGTTAACTGTGCGCTCTGAGCAGGCACACCTCAGTGATCTGTGTTTGTGTGTGGAAGTAGAGTGAGGTATGAAAAGTGTAAAGCCCTCTCCCTCGGTCCCACAGAGCAGGTGGTGAGCAGATTGTGGTAAAACCTCCGCCCTCTTCTCCCCCTCAGGCTGAGACTAATGAGGGTCGGCTCCCCAAAACCACCCTCCAACCAAATCCATCACAGCAGAGGCCTGTAGCTCCTGTAGAGTTTAATAAGATGCACTCACACATGGCCAAGAGTATGTAGATACTCTTGTCCGCAAGCTGGGACTAATTTTCATGGTTTGGATATGTAATATAATAAATCTTGATGCCACAGCATACAATTATATTTTAGACAATAGAGCTCCCATGAGGCAGTGCTCGAGTGCACAAAGCCAGGCCCATAAATAAACAGTTTTTCCAGCTTGGTGTGACCTCCACCTTATCTAACACCTTCGGGATGAATTGGAGCCTAATAGACCAACATCAACGGCCAACCTCAATATTGCTCTTGTAGCAGGGAGCAAAGCCTTCCCAGAAGGGGGAAGGCTGTTTTGGCAGCCTATAAATGCTCAGTGGGTTAGAATAAGATGTTCAACAACCACATGTTCAGGTGTCCAAACATTTCTTGCCATGTAGAGAATGTAACTGAGAGCATTGATAGGCTAGAGAAGCCTCATTACACCCTCATGTGATCGTGTGTGCAAATGCGTCAACTCCAGCTGCGATTATACTTGAGCTGCTGCTTTGATTTTATTAAACCATTATTCAGCCTCTGGTCTATGTGGATTATTGGTTGACTTACCTGTGACCTGCAGGAAATTGAGGTGTCCAAAATGCTCTTTGATGTGTTGATGTAAAACTGCAGGGGGGAGGCCAAATAATATAAACCCCCAGTGAAAAATGACTTCTACTCTGAAGCAACATCGTCACAATTACTAATGTTGCAGCAAAGGTTGAATGTCAATTCGCTGCATCTGCCAGCCATTAAAGATGTCTGTCATTCAGCGCTTTGATGTGGGAAAGTACAGACAACAAGAGGCCACCAACAGAGCTCCAAAGAGGCTGAATCATCTTTGTTGTAACTGCAGGTGCACTGGTCACAGAAAACTGCACAATTATTTAATATGTCAAGTGGGGCTTGGGTCTTGAAATGTGTGACAGCATACGGTAAACACAAACAAACAGCATCAACAAAGAGAAGGTTTGGTTAATAGTCAAAAATAACCAACAGAGACATGCACATACAGTAAATAGTGTGTGATGACAAACAATGACAACAGCTGTCAGCTTTTTCTGCAAACAAACTGTAAACAACCAATTATACACTACCTGCCCAGGATCAAACTGCAGACACGCTAACTTAGCAACTAGCTAGTGAATATGGAGACAGATATTTCCCTCAGATTTGCTGAAGACCAAAACAGAGCTAAAATGAGGGTGAACACTGGACTTAATATTTGTTAGATTAATGCTTATGTTCCTCTATCTCTGTGTAAAAGGTCCGTTGTTTTCTAACACCACACCACATCAACATCAGTGTGTGCCATTTAATTTCACCCTGTTCCACCCAATGGCAAAAAAAACAATGCAGCTTTAAAGCTGACATTCAAGTCAAGATGTGTTTACATTATTTTTTCTTCCCCCTTTTTTGTATGCTCCCACGCCTTTCAGCATGCTGCAAGTGAGAGGTACTGTAAAAGATCAGCTTCCACTATCTGTCATGTCACCGCAGTTTTTTTGGCTTGTTAACAGTTAATTAGTGAAGGATTGTTTTAACAGAATACATTTTAAATACCAGGATTTCCATAATCAGGGTCTCAGTTTTAGATTAACATGCAGAGCACAGCTAAATCGCTCATGCATATTCCACCAGCCGTGTGCATTTGAGATGAAGTCGATGACAGGGGAAACATCAAACCTTTCCCTTCCATGCAGGTATCACTGTCTCAAGCAGAGAGAACAACCTTTGCCAGCACAAACAGAGCAGTAGCAGGGGAAACTGTATGTTTAACAAGGCTGCAGCCAGTGCAGTCAAGAAGAGAACAACAAATCTGAAGCCATTATTCTTTTATTTATGGTGATTGCAAGTTGTCCTTGGGGGTACACTTTTATCTCACAGTAGCTGGCAGGTGATGAGGTGCAGAGGTTCGGAAGTCAACACAAGTTCACATTTATTTATGGTTCGTCTCTCTGGCAAAACAGGGCCATCTCTCTCCCGCTCCCTCAGGCAGGTGATCTTGATCCAACTGTTTGACGATGGGAGGGCACGCTCTCCCAGGGCTGTCCACCAAATGGTTTATGTTGTTGATGATGCTTTGCTGCAGCTGGGAATTAAGTTACAACATATTTATATGTAAATATGTTTCCTGTCATGGCTTATTATATAGATTCAGCTTCTTATTTCAACATGACAAAGCACTTGTGTAGGGATCTAGTGAAGTGATTTAAAGGATGGTAAAAGTGAGCAGTGGATGCCAACGCACTTGGTTTAAATCTTGGCAGGGAACCATCGTCCTCTTTCTTCCCAGTGTTTTTAGCTGTGCCAGTGGCATGGTTCCATGAAGAGCAATGTTAGTAAGTCCATCTCTTTGTTGTGCACTAGAATTTGTTGTACAGGCATTCATGCTTAACCTGCCAGATGGTTTGTTACACAGTTGTTATTGGAAACTGTTTGGAAAAGGGCAAGCACTTTAAAAAAATACATTACAAAAATACAATACAACTAATTGTTTTTCAGTGACATGGTAACAAACCATATAATGTAGTCAAACTCTTACAGAAGCCAGTCGGGAGAAGAGCGAAAACATCAAGGTTATTTCATGGTCCCCTGAAGATGAGTCTGACTAACAATGGCAACCCCCTGATTTGTCCTTTGGTACCTTTAGCTACTTTAGTTTTTTAGTGACATGGTTAAACAACTATTGGGCGGATTGCCCTAAAATTTGGTGGAGATATGCAAGAGGCCAGGAAGATAAATCCCAATGACTTTGGTGTTCCCCTGACTTTTCCTGTAGCACTGCCATGAGGTTCATTTTGTGGTTTTGAGTGAAATGTCTCAAAAACCTTTAGATAGGTTGCCATTAAATTTGGTACAGACATTCATGTCTATCTCAACATGAATTGCAATAACTTTGGTGATCCTATATGTCTATATATGAAACTTTTTTATGTCAAGGACCCCCACAATAGATGCACATAGACCAGACACCCAACTTGAGAGGATTTTGTCATAAGTAGTCATGTCTGAGTATTTTTTTAGGTTTGAAGATATTTAAAATTTTTAAAGTTAATCAATGATTAAACTAGAATCACAATAAATTACGATCAATTAAAATGTCCAGTCCTATTTGTTCCCTTGTTGCCCCAACTTCCCCAAAAATTTGATAAAAGCTAACCCCTGTTGGTCCCCAGACCCCAGTTTGAAAACCAGTGTGTAAGCATACTAAACTAAGCATGGTAATGGTTATACCCACTGAACAGTCAGGATTTCTTCATCGTCATTGTAAACTATTATTCTTAGAATTAATCTGAAAGTGTGTGTCGATTCTATAGTGTCTTTTTGTCTCTTTAAGCCAAAATGTATAATTGGTGACAACACCAAAATAATGGTGCTTTTAACAGTCACATGGTACGGCTACACTTGAAGCTGATTTAATCAAATATTATGAGGGAGTGATGATAGACATCTGGATTGAATCTGGTTTAACTGCAAGTTATTGATCTTCTGACTTTAACAGTTTAATTGTTTTTGTCTGTATCACCTCAGGGATGATCCTCTCTGTGTGTGTGTGTGTGTGTGTCTCTCTCTCTCTCTCTCTCTCTCTCTCTCTCTCACACACACACACACACACACACACACACACACTCACAGACACACACACACACACACACACACACACACACACACACACACACACACAGACACACACACAGACAGAGATAGCTCAGCTGTTTTTTCTGGTGCAATGAGCAGATTAGCTGACCTGAGCTAGCTTTTTCCTCTTTACAGCTTGCCATTTTTTCTGCTTCTTTGACTCAAACTCAGGTTTATCTCATTACCAGCTCGTGGCTTCAGCATTTGTGACCATAACAGTCTAACTGAGCACAGAGGAGAGATTTCACTCATGCTGCCAGCGGGAGGCACAATGCTGCGTCCGAAGCCAAACATCAGTTTGTAATCTGCTGCGTTGGCTTGGCAGCATGATTCAAGGATGAGGAAGAGAGAAATGAGCAGAGAGGCAAAGGATTAGAAAGACTTCAAATTTCCAGAGGAAATGGATACCATGGGATAACTGCGTGCATGTTTGAGTGTTTATATATGGGGAGTGAGACAGAAAGAGAATATCCATGGAGTCTTGTGGTTAAACTGCTGAGTCATGCTGTGACGTTTGACCAAATGTTGTGTGAAACCACGCCATAGCACCACAGCCTGTATCCCTCAGCATCCTGCTCTGTCCTGGAGGTGGAGAGGAAGAGTTTCACTGTTAGCATCAGCAGCCGGCAGTGTTCAAAGTGAATGACTCGTCTGATGAAGGAAGAAGAGCAGCTCAATGAGACGATAAAAGGTCTGTTTAAGCTTCTGCATGTCAAACTTTGTTAGAGCTCCAGTATGCTTCCAGTTTACGGCTAGTTGTATTGTCTTTCGTAGTAAGGCATCATTTTGTTTGATCTAGTTCCTGTTGCTGTGTGTTAACAGTTCACGTGGTTGCTGTCTGATTTGTTTGCTACCATGAGCTCATCCATCATTTTTTTACTGCAGCTTTCCAATTTGGGCTTTTCGACTTGATGTTTTAAAAACACAGGCAAATGCAAACAGTATAGTGTTATCACAAGCAAAGCATTTTTTCAAAAATCAACTATTGAATTCACACTCAACTTCAAAATCTCATGTAAATCAGTTTGTTAGTTTGTCCATTGATTTGTTTGAAAATGTGTTTCCAAAATGCTATTTTAGACACAAATCCTCGCCTAAATTGGTTAATTAAATGTTCATGATTAAACTAAAATAACATTATTATACTCTACAAAAATAATTCATGTGCTCAAGCGTATAATGAGAGAAGGAGTTGTTATGCTTGTTTCAGAGAACTGCATGCTGTCTTCTTGTACTGTAAGCCTAGTTATTAATCAATTTTCAGCTGTAAAATAATATCTTTGTGCATATTGATGGCTTAATCCATTATTGGTAGAGAGAGAAATAGTGATGTATGTTGAATCGACTTCTCTGGAAACAAAGCTCTGCAGACTGTGTGTGTGTGTGTGTGTGTGTGTGTGTGTGTGTGTGTGTGTGTGTGCATTATGGATTTGCTTTTTTGATCCATCCTCAGGGAATCTCCTTCCCAGTTGTGTCCACAGGGAGACTCAGATGCTGTGTATGTGACAGTATCTGAATATTGACTGCAAGCTAAACAGTTTCACTACAGGAAGTGAGACAGAGAGTACAGTGGTGCAGAAAGAGCTTCTAATAGATTACAGAGTTGTATTTTTATACTTCTGTACCTCTCCAGAGCTCTCTGACAGTGTGATGTACAGCAGTCCAGCAGCACTGCCATTGATCAGCCCGCCTCCAACATTAGACATCCTACTGTGGCTTCTGTTGCACAATAAGCGCTGTTTGGTAAAATGCTTCACAAAACTGTGACATCATTGACGCAGTGATAAATTGCACCAAGGTTGGGTTCTGTAATGTGTGCCAGTTTGGAGGCCTTTAGCTTCCTCTCCCTTTCCTCACTTGTTTCAATCTCGTGTTACCTCGCAGCTCTTGTGAGAGTTGGACAGCAGAGGGTTGTGATGCAGTTTTGGCTGCCGTTTACTGCTGCAGAGCACTCGGTGTGTTTACTACAGAGCACGCCGTCCTGTCACAGTAACAACACCGCTGAATATATTGTGGAATCTCATATTTCCCATGAAATCCGATGATTGATGTCTTTCACTCAGGTGGAATCGCGGTGTTGATGCAAACCTTTGTCAGCACTCTGCTGCTGCTCCATTTCCTCTGACTGTTTATTCAGTGAGGTGTGTACACAGGCTGAGTAGCCAAGAGTCGGGACTGTATTGATTGAAAGTGAGGAGAGTGTGTGTTGCTGGAGGACAGATGGTTCAGACCTCCTTTCTGTGGTCATGCCAGTGTGAATGATCATGTGTATCCTGTACCTGCTCCTCTAGACAGAGAAGAAAATACACAAAAAGTGGCAACAACTGTCAATCCCCAACAAGTTGTTCAAATGGCAGAGTACACAGTTTAAGCTTTTACTCTTAAACTGAGTCTCTTCATTCTCACAACAGAAATATGTTGCTCTCTACATAGTTCAATGGGCTTGTTAGCATCTTTGCATGTTATGGTTTTTAAAAGAGCCTGCAGTATATCTGTCATCCAATCAGTTTGTCACTTACATGTGACGTCTCCATTTCCATTTGTCAGATAAAGAAACCCACAGATCAATGGCTGCTAATGGACCATGGTGGTCATTAGATGGATCCTTGCAAATGCTATCACAACTGCACTTAGAGTAAGTGGTAGACACTTGTCTGAGAAAAAAATGAGTCGCAACAGTTGTATGTTGGGAAAAAATGAATTTTAAATTCCAATTTCATTGCTTATGACCAACACCACACCCTTAATCACTGTTTCCATTAAAATACAACAATTTAATTCTCAGTCTATGTAAATACTGGCAAGTAAAATATTGTAAAGATGGGTGCTATGGCAACAAATTACATCCCTGCAACACTTGAAGTGTGTAGAATTGAATGGCCAACCAACTCCCCTCACCCTCCCCTTACAACCATTTAGAAGAAACTACGGTGGCCACAGAACTCACACTTAAGGCCCTACCTACGAATATTATATTCCATTAGATCCTCTTAATTTGTACACACTGGACCTTTAAAACGCCTGGTGCAAGACTATGCAACTTTTGTGGGAAGAAATTCTTTGTCTTATAAAATAAATAAATTAATTAATTAATTCATGACCAATAAAATGCACCTTTTCTCCATTCAATAGATTCAGCGGTTTTGATGCGGTAGCCTTAGTTGCTATTCCAGAAGCCCGTGGTGGCTAATGTAAGCAAACTTTAGATAATATAGTTGTAAAATCCACATTACTGATTCAGTTTGCTGACTTTATGACTTCTCCTCTTGTGCTGCTGTAAATAGTATGTTACTAAAAATGCTAGCACTTAGCATTGACTGAAAATTGTCACCTGTAGCTGCAGTGGCCACTGTTTAGCAAAAGTTAAAGCAAAAGTGTCGCTTTAACAGTCATTGGATTAGTACAGAAGTGGTCTTAATTAAAAGTAAACACACACACTTTACAGTTTGCACTATAAATCAGTGTGTGTGTCGGCACCTGAGAGCTTCAACAGGTGTGTCTCAAAGCTAAGCTATAAAAAAAGCAACATAAGCCCAACAGTTCACCAATCATGGTTAATGATCTCTGTCTCTGTTTTTCCTTCAGGTATGGTCCAGTGCTGATGGCGCACTCTGAGCTGTTTGTGACGAGAGCGCCCCCTGTGGAGGGGAGAGCTGTGGAGCTGGATGTTTTGAGCTTCGTGGACTCGTTCGGGGAGGAAAACAGCACTGCTGAGAGATGCTACCGCGCACACTCCCGCAGCAGTGTCCTCCAGGGTCTGCCATTTGGAGGAGTGCCCACGGTCCTCATCATTAATGTGGTCATCTGGATGGTACAATCTTACACCCATACACACACACACACACACACACACATTAATATACATAGTTTACATAATTAACTCCATGATCAGTTAACATTTGTTTGGAAGTTTAGAAATGGAATTGCTTTTCATTTGAATTTCTTAAGTTATGCAAATAGAGGATTGTTTTGAATGTATCATAGAAGACCGAGAAAATCTGAACATTTTCACATTTGAGAAGCTTTTGTGCCATTTTTACTCAAAAAATAAAATAGAAATGTCCAATTACTGCAAAAAGTTAAAAAAAAACCTACTTACACAATCAAATGTCTAAATATTTGCCAATCAATTCTCTGTTCATTAACAAATTGATTATCATTTCATATCATCGTTTCAGTTCTAGCTAGAACCATATTTGCTTTCTCTAACAGGCTTGTTGTCCATCTCTTTGTATACTGCTGCAGCTTAGAGGACCGTGACAACAAGGTTTCTGAATATATCCAAAGCTGTCAACACCCTGTGGAAATATTATGAAGAGCTGTTTCTGTCAAAATACAGTATCTAATGGACATCATGTCTTAGCACTTCACTCTGCTCTTGATGATAATACAGTACAGCAGCAGCTTCAGGAGTGTTAGAGGTGCCGGACAGCACACATGAGTGTGTGGAATGAATTCAGACATACTGTGTATTGGAAACATATCAACACACAGAAATGCTCAATGTTTATATTGATCGTGCAGACCTTCCTCTGACTTTCTATATCTCTAACCTCAACCCTTACTACCATATACCTAAATATTATAATTTCATCAAACACCTCACCTCATTTGGTAGAGCTGGCGCCCCAAGTACTAAGGCTGAGTCCACGCTGCAGTGGCCATGAGTTCGACTCTCAACCTGTAGCCCTTTGCTGCATGTCATCCCCTCTCTCTCCCCTTTCCTGTCATTTTACAACTATCACTATTGATTAAAAGGCAATAAAATGCTCAGTCGGTAGAGCTGGCGACCCATATATGGAGTTGCTACACCCTTCCTATCGATCTTCAGCTGTCCTATCCAATAAAGCCATGAAAAGTAAAAAAAATAAAAACTTAAAAAAAAAAAAAAAAAAAAGGCAATAAAATGCATGGGTTTCCTCCATCTGAAATCAGATATTGGGTTCAAAATGTGTGGTATTCCTCCGACAGTACAAAGACATGCAGTTAGGTTAATTGGAGACCTTTAAACTGCTCTGTTGTGATAATGGTTGTCTGTCTATATGATAGACTTGTGAAATGCATGCTGGAATAGGCTCCAGCCCTCACTGACCCTGCTAAGGAAAATCATTTGTTTGTTGTCAGGGAAAAGTCTCTAAAAACTGATGTAAACTTTAAATGACGCCATAGTCTTATAAAACATGATGGAGCTTTTTTTTCTCCTGCTTGTCAGGGCTTTTCGATCTCATAATAATGTATAAGAACACACACAAATGCAAACACACATTATATGCAAATCATAGATATCAAATTGCATTAAATCTCTATGTTTAAACTTTGTATTCACATAGTGTATTTAAGACGCTGTTTACAAACATAGTTGCATATTTTTTTCCTTCTGTCTCCAGATAATAATGGGCTTTCCGATTTCTTCCGTCACCTACCTCAGTTCCACTGTCAGGCCTTGTCAAGCTTGATCTCTGCACTGATATCACTCTCAATCTGCCACCTCCTGGTTTTAATTGGCTCATTTCATCGCTGCCTGGTTGTCAAGACAACACAGAGGGTTGAGCACTGTCTCTTAATGACAAGCATGAGTCAAAACACGCTTCCCCCCAGGTGACGGGAGCACGCCTCTGCATCAATCCCATCATCATACAGAATAAATCATCTGTGGGACTTGAGGAGAGCATGCCCACGCATCAAGACGAAATAAAATAAAACAACAGGGAGGAGATGGACACTGGGAAAACAGCGATGTGATGGAGAGATTCTTATTTAAAGGAGGAGTTTGGACCCTGACTGCTAATGTGAACACATGCTCATTATTCGTCTTCAAGCCTCAGTCAAGGATGCCCTGATTGTCTATGCATGGCTCTAGATCACAAAAAAAATGAACCATTCAACATTTATGGGAGCTTTCTTCTTATTAACGTGGCTGTCACCCCTGCCCACTATACCAAATGGCTTCTAAACTCAAATGAGTTAATGATTTAATGCTGTAATTAAATTCAAACATTCATCAGCACTTTTACTCAATTTGCATTTGTCAACATTCATCCATCATCACCCATTTATGCTCTTTTTTACCAGGGCTGTTCAGCATGAATCCACTATTGTGTACTTTATATGTCATTGAAAAGCCTTTTCCACTTTGTTGTGATGTTACAGATTAGCTCTCCATTTGTGGCAGAATGGAGGCTATTCAGATTTATTGCAATTGACCACACTCCTCCGTCATTAGTGCACAGCATGTGTTCACATGTGCATGCTGACCTGTCTCTGGTAGTTTCCAAGACAACCATGTACTACTCAAAAGAAAGAAGCTCATTATTTCTGTTGCATTTTGAACCTAATATTTGTAGGCATTCTATGAGGATGCAGAGACGGTCCTCAGCTTTCAAATCAAGCATTATGGAAAGGTTTTAGATAATATTAGACCCAGCTACACAGAGCAGATGAGGACATAGAGTGTGTGTGTGTGTGTGTGTGTGTGTGTGTGTGTGTGTGTGTGTGTGTGTGTGTGTGAATCAGATTCTCACAGGCTCTGTTCTTGTTCTTGTGTTGCAGTTCCTGTTGCTCATCTTCTCCTGTCTGAGGAAGGCTGCATGGGACTATGGCCGCCTGGCTCTACTAATGGAGAATGACAGGTGAATCCAAAAACGCTGGCTGTCTTACACTTAAAAAATCTCATACACCTGCTGGTCTGTGAGCCATGTCAACATTTAAGATGGAGATATTATTCTCAGTGGAACCACTCCTGAGTGCCGATCCTGAAGCCTCCAGCTCCCTCTGCTGAGTATAAATGGTACTGCGTAGAAAGCAAATAACTGCAAAGAGTTTCTACATTTGTTTCATTTAAGATGTAAAGTGCCAGAGTCTTTAAATTTTTTGTTTTGGTTTACCAAAACTATAAGATGTTTAACGTGCAATAGATTTTAAAACCATTTCAACCATTGTTTGGCATTTTCCCTTGATAAATAACTTGAAGAACAAGGATGGTGTTATTTAGGCTGGTGTTATTCTATTTTTTTCCCAACTGTCAACAAATCCATGAACAGAGTAAAACAATGTGATAGTCAGTTACTTAATACTTTCCATCTGTTTTTGTGGTCTGTGGCACTCAACCCCAAAGTCCACTGGTTCTTAGTAGAGAGGTAAATCTTTAAAGCGGTTCAAAAATACAAGTTGAATTTTCCCAAACAGCTGGGCACTGTAGTTTTTAGCAAACATTACTTGAACACAAGTAAATAATGCATTATTGTACTTTCAGCTGCGGATTAACACACACTTGTGAATATTTAAAGCAACAGGACATAAGAAAGAAGAAAGAAATAAATTAAGCTTTGTCCACACAGACAGTATTTGTTAGAATAATTCATTGTTGGTTTTAGTATTTTCATGGTATTTGTTGACAGAAATATAGAATACAACCAGACCTCTCCTTTAAACAATTTGTTGATTGTATAAAATAATAGTATTTATCAGTATTTAGTGAGATATCTTTAAGGTAACAAAATGACTTAAGGTCCACCCAGTAGTTTGCATGAGTCCGCAGCGGTTTCACTCTGCTTGACCTGAGTCTCCTCTCCAGGGGATTGTGGACCTGGTTAGTTCTGCCTGATCGACAGCGGCTTCATAGCACCCGAGGGCAAGCAGCATCTGTGTGTTTTGCCAAGCAGTCCGCTCTCATACTAATTCAATTATCCTGCTTAATTTGACACGCTGTTGAACTGTCAATGGTACGGCCCACAGAGAGCTATCCACAAACTCAATCAGAGACACTGGCTTTATTAGATTCGACCGTACTGTATGTGCTTTATGTCTTCTCTATGTATAGACAGACATAGGGATTGATTTCAGGCAGATACTCTGGGTCTGTCTGCAGTGGTTACATTGTGTTTGGTATGATCGACTTTACAGCACTGAATTAAATATTGTACGTATTGATTAGGTCATGTCAGGCCACAATCAATATGATGATCTTGCTATTTCTTTGTTTATCTTGTCTTCCCAATTCAGTCTCACATCCCTGTTTTATGGAGAACCAAGTGAGAAAGAGAAGTCTCCATCAGAGTCCAGTCCCTCTGACTCTGACACCAAGGACATGGTGAGTTTTTTGTTTTTCATCAGCTCCTAAAAGCACCAACAAACCCCTTAATAGCATTTTCAGTTAAAGGTACCCTGTGGGTTTCATGCTAAGCAAACACTATTTTGTTTACACCCAGCCTCTCTCAACAAAATACATTTTATGTGTCCTAAAGGTCTAACAAAAATATCCTCCCTGATAAAGTATTTGCAAAGTCTATTTTATGTGTTAAAACCTGTCAAAACACTTTAATGAGGTCATTTTCTCTGACCTTACTGTAAAGCTGTAAAGTAATGTGAAAAAGGGATCGCACATAGTGATGAAACCATAGAGAATTATTAACTATCTCTATAGTTCCTTTCAGCTGTATGGAGAATCTTTTAGCTCATTATTTTGGTTTTACAACACTTTAAAACGTTAACAAACTGCATGCTATCTGTCTTTCTCCAAATGGCAGGCAGACAAAGTTAGCAATTAGCTAGTGGAACATTTAGCAGCAATAAAAATTTGATTGGTGAAGACAAGACCAGAGCTAAAAGGAGAATGAATACTGGAGTCGTTACAAAACACAACTCTAAGTTAATGCTAATTTTACTCCTTGTTAGCTGGATGTGTAAACGGGCACACATTGACATAAGGCAAACGTGGCAATAATAAGCTGATATAAATAATTGTGCTACGAGACAGTAAACATAACCCATGAAAAACAGTGCAACTACAGTGTTGGTCAAAATGTTTAGTTTTGTTACCCAGAAGGAGCCTCACACAAATATTTAGACATTTTCTCTAGATATATTTTTAATTTTTTTTATTTTCATGAAATGCTCTCTCTTGGAAACAATGGAAAATATTCCACTATTGCTTCCTTAACTGCCAGAATGGCCACATGCACAGAAACTGAAGCCAGCAATGGCAATCTGCAGTATATTGGCATTTTGTCATTGAACCAGGAGCTTTTTCATTTTGTTTGTAAGTATGACGGTCCCTGAGGTGCTCATGTTATGGCTGTGAGATGCCACAAAGACACTAAAAGCTGTGCGTCACAGGTACAAAGAGAAATCATCATGGGAAAAGTAGAAACAAGTCTAATTTTTAAGGAACACTATCATCATCAATAACAATGATGTTGTCATTTATTTACAGTAATGTTATACTTAGTTTGTCAATGATATAGTGATGTCCAAAAATGCTGCATGCTGCACTTTTATAATAAAGTCCACTTGTCTAAGATGGCACTGCGACAATTGTTGTAAGAGGAAAGTTGGGATCGTGACTCAGCTGGACTGTCTGTGACTCCATGACACCTGTGTGTGATAGACTGAGGTCACTCCCTGTATGTTTATAACGGTGTAAGACAAAGAGTCAGACTGGAGTCATCGCTGTGTGCCTACACAAAGCTGAGGCTGCAGTAAAGTGGTTACTGCTCCAGGCTAGACCTATTAAATCTCCATCTCTGTGTCACTCTGCAGACCTTATTACTATGCAAATAGTGGATGCATGCAAGTAGCCAGATGTGGTGTGCGCAAACTTGCATACATATGTCATTTATTATCTCTAATAACGAATCTATTGGATGTTTTATGATTCTCTTCTCCTTCCAGGGCTTCTGCTCGTGGCTCTCATCACTTTACCATATGAAGTAAGTTCCCAAAGCAGTGTAATTATTTTACCCGTCTCTCATCTTAGCTTCCATCCTTTTATTGGCCCTCTGTCTTCAAAGCTGATGTCACTGTCAAATGTAAAGTCTCATGTTATATCTCATTTAGCAGGAAAAACAAACAAGTCTGGGCTCATGTGACCACTGGTGCCGTGGTTTCCCGTTGAATATTTGCACTTGCTCGAGTCTGGCTGCACACAACAGATTAAGGCCTGTAAAAAAGCGATTTTCACGGTGCCCATGGTTTCCATAGTATTGTGGTGGAGTTCGGGTGCTTCTGTTTTTAGCTCTCATGCCAGTGGCTCACCCTGGGATCCCTGGGAAAGTGCAAACCCACCCTGCGAGTTCGCAATGTGTGGGCTGCAATGAGACCAGCATGTACCTCTTTTCTTCTTTTTTTTCATGCTTTTTTTGTTCTATTTTATGACACTCGGTTTCCTGAACCTCCCGCCTGGTAACCACAGCTTCTGGAACCAAAGCAGTGGTGCCACAGTTTTACTCATGATGAGGTATAAGCTGTCGGCCCATTTATCCTGGCAATAGACAGAACTGCATATATTCTAGATTCAGATGGCACTGCTCTGATCATCACATCTGCATGTGTGGAAATTCCACTGTTGAACATTTTGCAGCATCTCTTTTTTTATTATGTAGCATAGAGAGTTTTGGATCTCTTGGATATGCAATTAAGAAATTCTGAAAGTTTCCCCTCTCTCTGTTCTTGCAGGGATGAAGAGATCCGTAGCAAATGCGGCATCGATGCTGTCACATACCTGTCCTTCCAGCGCCACATCATCCTGCTCATGACAGTGGTTTGCCTGCTGTCTTTGGCCGTAATCCTGCCGGTCAACTTTTCCGGGAACCTCCTGGGTATTTTTGTCCCTACATGATGGTCTAGCTAGCCGACTCTTTGAAAAGCCAAGGGATATCCTTAACCTCAGGAGAGAGACTTGGGGCACCTCGCAGGGAGAGAGGCCAGGCCACACAGACACAATCACACACATCTACACACTAAATGATTTATTGGTTAAATGCTTAGAAACGTAAGCTGTGGTCAAGCTTAGTTAAAAAAAACCTGTATCCTGTATAAATGAAATTAGAGCAGAGTTCAAAAGGTTATTCTAACTTAAAATTACCCATTTAACAACATTGTGAAGTACATATAATTACTGCTGTTTACATACACAGAGGCTGCATTTCTTGTAATGGGAGTTGCTAGCATACCAGTGGCAATTCCCCAAGTAGGATTTTAGAAATAGAAAGTGCTTCATATCCTCTTAACATACACATGTAGGTGTCAGTGGTGGCACGGTGTGGAAAATTAGCTGCTAAATAGCAGCAGAAATGCCTTTTGGCAGTTGGGTGCTTATTTTGTAGGAAGTGTTGAGTAAGCCATTCCATAACAGGATGAAGGCAGGAGCCATTTTGGGGTCTACGAGGAGTTGGGCTGTCCACAGAAACGTTGTTATTGCTGCTGGCTGTCATCTTATGGACTAGTGTGTCACCCTAGTCATTAAATAAACCAACACCCATTGACAGGCTGCCATGGCAACAGCAAACAAAGGGTGCCCAAATTAAAACAGCGGAGTTACTAGGCATGACTGCAATGTTTGAATTTTGTGTGAAATTTCATTGAGATGAGAGAGATTTCATTAAATTGGATGGAAAACGTTTTCTCTGAATAGTGACATTGCTTCATTGTTGCCTTAACCTCCAGACAAAAGAGGAGGGGTTTTCCTTTAAGTCATTTAGAAATAAAAATGTCTCGCTATCTGTCATGTTTCATTATTTCTACAGGAGACAGCCCGGAAAACTTTGGAAGAACAACACTGGCTAATGTTAGCGCAAAGTAAGTCTAACACTTAAATAAATGACATCAAATCTCATGAAACAGTGCAGAATTGTGAAAAAACCCTGAACAATCTGTATTCGTTTGAATAACACTGGTGTTTTTGTGGCTCGCAGGGACAGCTTTCTGTGGCTCCACAGCATCTTTGCTCTGGTCTACTTCATCATCACGTTGCTGTGTATGGCTCACCACTCGCTGCGGCTGGAGTACAGGGAGGATGAGAAGGTCTGTCACCAGCACATCATACTGTTTAAACATCAAGGCTTGGCCATGACTCCTCTGCATAAACATCCATCTTATCTAGTCAATTTCTCTAGCTTAGTGTGTTAGTATTCCAGCATTCGTTAGTTAGCAATCAGAAGGTACAAAAAAGTCACATTCTGCTGTGATGGTTGCATTAGATGAAAAGTCTATGCTTCACCAAAGTAATTTCAATTCATCCTGGGGGGAACATGAATGTGAAACCTGTTAACCCACACATCATGGTAATCCATCCAGTAGTTGTAGAGACATTTCATTTTGAGCCACAGGTGTCAACCTGCCAATGGTGCTGGATGAAAATTCAAAGGATTATGTGGGATTCATCATCTGGGGGACAATGAATGTGTGTACCAACTTTGTCTATGTAGTTGTTGAGACCAAAGTGGACCAACAGACCGGCAGTGCCATCCCTAGAGCCACACTGCTTCAGTGCATGACTACTCATGGTGGTTGCATTATGTGTTGCAGGTAGCAAGGACACTGATGATTACCTCCATACCAAGAGAGATCTCGGACCCAGACCTCATCACCAAACACTTCCAGTACAGCACGTTTTCTTCTCTATTTCATTACTTAGTCAAGTTCCATCCTTTCCTTATGTTTGATTCGTGTCATTTTCTGCAAACACATATACATGCACAATCCCATCACCTTCATTCTGATTAACTCCTTTTACTCTTTTCACCAGTGAGGCCTACCCCAGCTGTACTGTCACTGATATCCGCTTCTGCTTTGATGTCCACAAACTGATGAGGCTGGACTTAGAGAGGTACAGGACAGATCAGAGCAACACAGTTTGTGACAAGTGTGAGGTTCTTGTCTGAGGATGCTGTGTTTTTGCAGGCGCAAGGCAATGAAGGGCAGGTTGTATTTTGCCACAAAGGCCCAAAAGGATGGGAAGATTGTGATCAAGACCCATCCGTGTGCTCAGATATTCTGCTGCGACATCTGTGGCTTTGAAAAGGTAATTTTTGTCATTAGTGCTGTAGTAGATTAGTAAATGACTTGCAGCATAGTTGTGTTGCACAGAAAGTATGTAACCACTGGATGGCACTGCAATACAAAAGTAGGTACATACAGCAGCAAGATATCTTGCCACTGTAAATCTGGGAATCTCTCTGAGAGTTAAAGATGCAGTGAGTAAGGTGTGCTCTAACTTTTTTCTGCAGGTGGATGCAGAACAGTACTACAGCGAGTTAGAAGAAAAGCGGACGGACGAGTTTAATGCTGAGAAGAACCGAATCACCATGAAGAGGCTGGGCATCGCCTTTGTGACTTTCCGTGATGAGAGAATGACTGCTGTGTGAGTAAACAACAGGATGACACCGAGGTTTATGTCTGCCAGGTCCTCTCATCACGTAAACCCTGTCACGACAGGGAGCAACCATAAAATCCATTGAGGGGCATAAAAGCAGCCGTTACTTAGTGCTGATGCAGATGTCTGCACCACTTTTGTACATCTTGTTTTGTTTTCCAGCATTGTGAAGGACTACAGTCGCGTGCGCTGCCGCCGCAGACCCCAGCAGTCCAGCATCACCACTGTGGTGCAGTCACACAAATGGGGGGTCAGCTACGCACCTGCTCCCAGTGACATCATCTGGTCAGTGCTGACATTACTGACTCACATAATTTTGTTTTTTTTTGGTGCTTCCCAATACTCATCCTTATTTTATTATCCTGTGCATGGCTGCAGGGAGCTGTAACCTATCCCAGCATGCACTGGACGAGAAGCATGGTACACAGACAGCCATTCACACTCACATTCACACCTACAGTACAAGCAGTTTATTAACCTGCATGTCTTTGGACTGTGGGAGAAAACCAGAGGACTAGGAGGCAACCCATGCAGACACATATTTTGAGTGTAATATCCAGTTTTATATGTCTCATGCATCATTTAGACACTTTTCCCTGTAATTATCCTGACATATTTGGTATCTTTGAAACCTCTGGATTGTGACTTGACTTTAAACCAAAGTTCTGCGGGCTGTAATAATACTTGTTGATGCAACATTAAGTTGTAATGATGGACCTCAAAGAGCCCATTTATTTAGACAAGAGGTATACATTATGCAAATTATGCACCTTGGCTTTGTCAGACTATCTGCTTTAGTATTACTATTCCTATTTCTTCTTTCACTGAGCTCTTCTTTAGAAATTTGCATTTAAGATGCACAAGTGTGTTGTTGCTCGTGTGTAGGAGAGCTCAAACACCATTTAAAGCTCATTCCCTGTCCATGATTGGATTAGCTATAATGCATGTTTCTTATCTTGGAAAGCAAATGCAGCAGCTCCAGCAAGATTATGTAACAAATCAGTGATGCATATGTATGGGAGATTTAACCAAAGAGATGGTAGCACTCACTGTTTGATGATTGGTTGCAGTGTTTGTGTGCAAAAGTGTTTTTGCATTAACTAGACGACTGGAGCAGGTACTTCTGTTCCTTCATTAAAACTGAGCATTGAAGTGTGCTGTTCCCCAACCTGCTCTCCAGTCCAGTGCAGTGGAAACACGCTCACCAACTCACACACAAAGTGGTGACTGAGCTGGCTATTTCAGGCTTATGTCAATACATACAGTATGGAAGCATCAGGGGAGAGTAGTGTATTAACTGTCCTGTCTGTCCTGCTGGATGGCTGTGAATTGACGCTCATTATTTCTCCCGTCACCAGGGAAAACCTGTCAGTGTGTGGATCTCGCTGGTGGCTCCGCTGTGTCCTCCTCAACATCCTCCTCTTTCTGCTGCTCTTCTTCCTCACCACTCCCGCCATTATCGTCAACACGATGGACAAGTTCAACGTCACAAGGCCTGTGGAGACTCTGCGGGTCAGAATTTGAGATCCAGCTGAACCGTGTGACCGTAACGCTACATTTTAACCCTCTTTGGTGTCACTAATAATAATTTTGCTGTCTAATCCAGAGCCCAGTCATTACCCAGTTCTTCCCAACCCTCCTGCTGTGGGCGTTTTCGGTGCTCCTGCCCTTCATCGTCTACTACTCAGCCTTCTTTGAGTCCCACTGGACCAGGTACTCACCAGCCATCGGCCACCACTCTCGTCTCTCTTCTGAAATGGAAATGCCTGTCCTTTGCTTCTTCAGATGGACCCTTCATGTGTAGCTGCCTGTCTTCCACTCAACTCTCAGCATTTCTTTTTTTTTTTTTCATCTCAATTATTTTTTTTTTCTCCTTCACCCTGTTGCTCTTTTTACTCTCTCCCCTCTCTCCCTCCTTCTCTCTGTCACTCTCCCTGCACTGTTATTCTGGGCAGGTTGTCATAGAGATCTCCATGTGAGGATAATGATATGCACAGTAGTCACCATGCGCACAGGAGCAGCACATGGTGACTAGCGGGAGGAGGAGCAGAACAACTGTGCATAAGGAGACAACCTCACGGAGCACCTATGAGCACCCTTTCTTTACATAACCACCCCCACAAACGTGTTGTGCAGGCGTGATGTGCGAAGGACGGAATGCAAATCAACTGTTTACTGGAGTGAAAAGTGTAGTTTGTGCTAATGAACCCAGCAGTCCTGTAAATGTAGAGTCAGCTGACTCTGCATTGCATTATTTCACACTATGAAATGATTATGTTGAAGGGAGCTGTGTGCATAGGGTTTATAACTTAATATGCATTGCATAATGATGTTCTTGCGATCCTTTGTTATTTGCTTAATGTCTCAGGTCTGGTGAGAACCAAGTAACGATGCACAAGTGTTTTTTACTGCTGGTCTTCATGGTCATCCTCCTGCCCTCACTTGGTCTGTCCAGGTACACCAACAGCAGTTCTTCACACTTAAAACAAACATATAACTTTTTTTTCTTTTCTTTTGGTTTCACTTTTACTTTTTTGCTTAGTACACCCTTTTTATGTTTTATTCTTTCTGTAGTCTGGACCTGTTCTTCACATGGCTCTTTGATGTCAATTTCCTGGATGAGAAGGATGTCAAATTCCAGTGAGAATACTCTTTTTGTTGAAATAAAATGAACCTTGAGTATTATGGTGCCTGAAAAGACATTTGAGTTGCAGCACTCACAGGTTTAATTCTTTTCTTGTTGCAGGTGCGTGTTTCTTCCTGACAACGGTGCATTCTTTGTAAACTATGTGATTACATCCAGTCTAATTGGCACATCTATGGAGCTGCTTCGCATCCCAGCACTGACTGTGTATGCCCTCCGCCTCTGCTTTGCAAAGTCCCAGGCTGAGCGCATTCATGTCAAACGGGTTAGCGGAGCCTTTCATGTTTATCTCAGTGTTTTCATGTTAGGTTCATTGCAGTTGATTTGGCTCTGTTTCATTTGTAAATATTACTGTCTTTGTGTTTTTATCTGCAGAGTCAGGCCTATGAGTTCCAGTTTGGCCTAGAGTACGCCTGGACCATGTGTATCTTTGCAGTCAGTATGACCTACAGCATCACATGTCCCATTATTACACCCTTTGGTGAGCAACATACAGTGACCCTCCTTTATCCTCATCTACCTCTTCCTTCTGTCCACCTTCTGTCTTTCTCCTCCATCCCATCATCTTCCCTCTTAGTCTTGTGTGTGTGTGTGTTTGTGTGTGTGCGTGCGTGTGCATGTCGTCTCTTCTCATACCGTGACCTCACTCTCCTCTACTGCCTGCCAGTCCAATGCAGACTGTGTGAATTTGCTGCTGTAGTCCCAGACACCCAGACACAGTGAGTTGCGAGCCAGACGCCCACTCTGCTCCTGTCTCTGCCCAGAGCTCAACAAGCTTCTATTTACTTCTTGCAGTCAAATCTTCAGTCCGGACGGGCCCTTTCGCGCATAATAACCTGCTGTTTCTTGCATTTTACCTGTGTTGCTTTCTGCCAATTGGCATTTTAGTCATACAAACATTTTTCAGAGGCAAACAATCTAATTGGTTGAGTTAAACCTCAAAGAAGCAACACAGGATTTTATTTACCTGCCAAACCTGGAGGGCAAAATATTAATTTGAAAAATAAACTGAAATTGCTTGTTTATTTTCTTTTTTTAAGCAGGCCACACTGTAACCAGGTCACACTAATTTAATGCACATTGATCATTACATAAAATGTATATATTCAGCGTTTGAGACCCTTAAGCTTTACTGTATGTGCTTTACACCAATTACCCTTCATTTTTCAGAATGCTTTAGTGTTTTAGATGTTTGAATGTTTTCATGCTGTAGGTACTCATCAGTCAGTGCTTGTGTGTTTTCTTGTGCCCCTCTAGGTCTGCTGTATCTGATCCTGAAACACATGGTTGACCGCTACAATATCTACTATGCATACGTTCCCACCAAACTCAACCAGCGGATACACAGAGCAGCCATCAACCAGGTCACCGTGGCTCCCATCCTCTGCATGTTCTGGCTGCTCTTCTTCTCCATGCTCAGATTAGGTACATTATCACTTCCATTTCTATCCTGTTACATTTTCTGCAACCATCATTGTATTGTGACTATACATTGTGTATACACTGTGACACTATAATTTCTTGCAATCTCTCCTTACTGACACAGGTCTAGTGCATCCCATCACCCTCTTCACCTTAGTGTCCCTCCTCTCCTCTATTGCCTTTTCCCTCTTCCGCTTGTGCCTTAGGAAGCAACAAGATAAGTCAACAAGCTACCAGGTCAGCTTCACCATACCTCACTGAGATAAGGTTCAGTTAAAGATGCACTAATATTGAATGAATAGTATGTATTTTCTTTTTGTTTCAGATGTCAGATCAGCCAGCAGAGGGGACATTCACTGATTCAGACAGGAGTACTGTAACATCCACTACTGCCTCCAGTGTACAGTATCCCATTTTTCTCATCTTAGCCTAACAACATACCATTAAAACACATCTTAGAGGAAAGGTCTATCTTTGCATGTTTTCCTCTATTATTAAAAATAACATATACCTTTCACGATTACCAAACATTTTACAAATAATTTTTTCTCTGTAATGTTTTCTACGTTTCTAGCAGCCGCAACTTCCAGAGACTTGAAACTTGACAAATCAAGCTCTGTTTTATTTGTGTTAAAGCAACACTAGGTATTGTTCCTAAAGGAGTTTTCCAGGCTAGTGCATTTACTGTAAGTGCTGGTGCAAGCTCTGGCTTCTGAGATTTGAGATTCAGCTGCTGACCAGTATTGCATTCATGAGCAGTGCTGTCAAAGAATATAACCCAGAAGACAAATAATAAATGGGTATCAACACCACAATAACAGATAATGGTATGCCGAGGAAAATGGTTGGAAATAAGTAATAATAAATTAATTGTCCCCAAAAAATAATTTTAAAAAGTATAAGTATATAAGTATATGTGATGTGTAATAAGTGGGTTAGCAAAACAACCAGTATGCAGTGTGTAGTATAACTTGGTACATTTACAGTACTGTAGTTAAGTGCAGTTTTAAAGTTTTATTTAGTATTAGGATATTTGTAATATACCAGCCAACAAAAGTAAAATTAGACAAACCCTTAGCAACTATAACTTTAAAATGATACACATCAAAGCATAAATAATAGCTAATAATCCAATAATATTAAATTATTATTAAATTAGTATAATGGATACATTTCCTGCAATATATATAATTGTTTTTGCCCTTTACTTTACTGGATCCTGGATATGAACACAAATTATTAATTTGTTAAGATCTTAACTTGTATATTAACTTCTTAAGTGCAGGGTGGGGAATAACACCATCATTTAAAATCCATAATTTCACTCCCCATGAACTGAGTGATTTGCTGTGTCACATAAACGTAAACTATACGTTGATCTTCCTCCCTCAGCTGTTTGTGGCGTCCGTGCTGCTGGAGCCAGAACTGGCTTTGACTCCTATGCCCTCCCCGGCCCACCACGGCTACGGCGCCATGGCCAGCTCCCAGAGTTCAAGCCACGGCCCAGGGGAGGAAGAGGAGTGCGAGGAAGACCACGCACAGACCCATGAGACTGAGCTCCAAGACCCCCCAGACCCCTACTGCTCCAGCCCACTCATGGACAGCCCTGTGAGCTACCAGTAACACCAAATCTCCCAAGCTGATTCCACGTGTCCTTCACCTGGAGAACACAGATTGCTAAATGCCGCAATGCAGCATTTTTGCCACTGACCTCAGACTCCAACTTAGCTGCCTCAGACCCTGAAACTTGGCTTGTTAGACTGGACAAGGAACCAGAAGACAAAAGAAGAATACAGGAGCAGTCTATAAATGTATAAATGTATAGACAACAGTTTAACAAAATATCTCCTGAACCTGTCATATGGAAAGAAGCATCCATCTCAACAGAAAAAACATCCACCCTAAATGTACAGATCACTTTAGTTAAACTATTGGATGCTCCAGGACAGGGATTCCATCTTCTTCTATGGCTTCATTTGCAAGTTAAAAAGGTTAAAAGTAATGAAAGTGACTGGGGTGGAATTGCCTTTGGGTTGCTGTCAGAGATTCTCTGTCCATGCTGTGCCACTTGGACATGAGTGGAGGTGAAAGTTCCCATCAGAGTGGGTGGTGTGAGCAGGCTCGCCCCGGCAGACTGACAGAGTGGTCTGGGCACGGGTGATATCTGGTTCCTCGGCAGTAGAGCTCAGGGAGGCTGAGGGTGAGGGCAGCTAGTTGTGAAGCCATCTGCAGTGAGAGAGCAGACAGACGGAGGGCCGAATGTAACTCAGAGATGTACTGTAATATATGTACACTCTCTCCAAGGAGGCACAAGCAGCTTGACTGTACCTGAAGCTTGTTGTAACTATTATCAATTTAGGGTTGCTATTTTTGCTACAGTATTTTTGGTGTCATTGATATTGTGCTTTGGGTTGGGGCAGGGGGCTACTGGAGATTGGTTAAGGATTAGCAGAGCTGTCCCATCTTCATCAGAGTATTCCCTTATAATGCTGTTTTGACTGTGTATGTGATGCAACTTTTATTTTTATTTGAAAGGAATAGTTCAACATTTTGCACACACTAATAAATCCCTTTCTTGCCAAGAGTTGGATAAGAAGATTGATACCACTCATGTCTGTACAGTAAATATGGACTACATCCTGCAGCCATTGTTAATTCTAACCTAAGCTAACCAGCTGCTGGCAGTAGCTTTATATTTAGATACAGTATGTGCCTGGTATCAGTCTTCTCATCTAGCTCTTACCTAGAAAGCAAATACGTTTATTTAGTAAGTATTATTATTAGTAATGTGAGCTATAGGGTGATTAAAAGCACATCCTGGAATTATAACATTTTGAAAATATGCCATGGATTCTACTTTCTCCCATTGTAAGACAATATGAAAATCTCTATAAGAATTTATTCATTTAGCTAATTATGTGAAAAACTGAAAGTAACTACGACCTGTGTTACTACTTGAGCAATTATATTTAGTTTTTTGGTTGTAAAATTCTCAAAAGAAAAAGAAACTATAATAATTTACCATAATGGCTCAAAATAATTTATTTGTATTTATGTGTTCAGTGTTGCTCAAATATTTCTGTGCAAAAAGTTTTGTTGTGTGTATGTTAATACAAATAGGCTACAAACACTAAAATCCAAGCACCACTATATACTCCACCATGATTTCAGTTGCATTACCCTATTCGTTGTGACACTCCACTGCATGTCCTACTGTATGTTGTAAAAATGAGGTATGCATTCATATCCTGATCCTTAAGGTCAAGTGTGACACGTGCTAATGTCATTGGTTTACAGTCAGTCTGTATGTTTGCAAGTTTTGTATTTTGGGGATATTTTTATTTCTTCATGATGGGATGAAAGTTTTTCCCATGAAACTGAATGTAAACTGATTGTTGTTCATTATTCATGTTTCTTGCTGTGCCTTGAACAAACACTCCCTTTCGTGTGACAATCCAGCATGGCCTGAAATATGCTGCATGGACTGAAAACTGAAGAGCAGAAAAACAACCAAGAGATTAAAAACATAATAACAACAAACACAGAAACAATCCAGAGTAGTTTTGAATTTTCATTCAGCAGTTGACAAGCAGTGAGCTCATTCTACCAAGATATTGACTGAACAATCTCCATTCTACCACTTACTTATTACCACTTACTGGAGCTTTCATCCTCATCATATGGTCTTCAACAACCAATTAGTTTGTTCGGTTGTCATGCATCTGTACATGTTCAAACTCTTTACTCTATGCTGTACACTTTTAGGACTTTAGTCCACTCAAGGTCCACTTACTTGCTTTTTCTGTAGCTTTAAAGAATAAGCTAAAACAGTCAACGTGTACAGCAACATGGACATGGAGTTAGAAGGTTTGAACATCTACAGATCAGTGACAACTGAGTAAACTTCCCCTGCTGATGAAGATCATGTGATATGGACGAAAGGTCTGGAACGAGCAAGTAAGCAGACCTTGAGTAGTGATTTTCTTTTTCTTGTGTGTCTTTACGTCACAGCAGTTCTGTCGTTTTTTTATAGATGTTTTGTGTCGTGGCCTCGTTGGTGCCTTGCTGTTGAGTTCAGTCAATATCTCTTCATTTCGTAGCTGCTGTATTCTTTACTGCTGTACTTCATATGATGCCAGTGTCATTTCCTTGTCTATGATTTGTCTTTATGTGATTTTAATTTCAAAATGTAGGATTAACAGTGGCAGCACTGTTGCTCCTACAGTAAATCTTCTTAGAGTGAATTTTAGTCCGTTTTGTGTTCTGTATGAGGTTTATTATAATTTGAATCATGTAAAATCATTGGCCTGTGATATGAATTTGAAAAAAAAAGACTTTTAGCCGTACTTTTATAAAACTGATGGTATATTATTGCATAAAGTGAAATGTATTTGCTCCATTTTACGAGGAATCTAATTCTAGTTCCTCATGCTGTATAAAACAGATGAAAGCTGGCAGCAGAGATGAAGTGGTCATTGCAGTGAATCATGAAGTAACATCTATTTGGAAAAAAAACAAACATCAAAGACCATCTCAAAGTTTCTGTCTCTGAACTGCCAACATGTCCTGTGGGTTTCTCTTGCAGAAGCTTGTTTCACAGATCATTAAACTTACTTTCCTTTGAAAAATACAAAATAAAACTTATTAGGGTATTCTTAGCTCTAATGGCCATGCAAGGAAGGATTGTCCATTTTCATGCTTAACTGGTTTTATTGTATCCTGTCACGTCTGTTCATATACTGTTGGCTTGGCCATCCAAAGTCTATTTGGATATATTAGCTTTCCAGACATGTTCAGCCTGGTATCACCATTTGCTATTGGTTATGAAATGTGTGTATCATCTTTATTTCATATGTGAGCAGCCTGCTGTAAATGTCGGTTGTTATATCTCCAAGAGGGTTGAGGGTAAAGGACAGACTACATTTGAGATTGATCTGTCAGGCTAATGAGTTTTCATCTGTCAAAAGTAAAGTGCTGTGATCTGAAATTAAAATTAATTCAGCTCAATCCACTCATATTGTGCCATGAACTCCTTATTGTTCTGCTCTGCTGTGGTCTATGATGAAGGGTTTTTGAAAGGCAGTGAGTGGGCTCATGTGGGCTACGTAGTGCAAGAGTGAATTTTCACAGGATGTCTTCAGGAAATGTGCAATGAATACTTTGCATACAATACTGTTTTATGACTGATGTTAAAGGAATAGTTTGAAATTATGGGAAATATGCCTATTTGTTGCCTTGCTGGGAGTTAGATGAGAAGATTGATACCATTCTTGTGGCTGTACGTTGAATATGAAGCTTCCACCTGCAGCCAGTTAGCTTAGCTTAGCACAAAGACAGGAAACAGGGAAACAGCAAACCTCACACAGTGCAAAGGTAACAAAATTTGCCCACCACCATCTCTAAGCTGACTAATTAACAGGTTTTTGGTTTCTTTTCCCCTTACAAACTGTAAGTAAATTACATTTTATGTTATTGTGCGGAATAAAGAAGTAAGATATAACAAGTTCATTTATTTAATTTTCTTCGAGGTGCTGGAAGGTGGATTTTTTAAACCTTTGGACAGAGCCAGGCTAATTGTTTACTTGTTATTTCCAGGCCTTGTGCTAAGCTAAGCTAACCAGCTGCTGGTTTTAGCTTCATATTTACCATACAGTTATGACAGTGGTATCAATATTTTTATTTAACTCTCTGCAATAAAGAAGAAAAGCATAATTTCTAAACTATTCCATTAAATTCTGACAAAGCGCACTACTGATGACAGCGATTCCTTTGAACAGACCATCTCTGCAAAGACAATCACAGACCAGATATCCTCATTTAATAGAGCTGGGGGAGAGGCACCTAATGATTGCAGGTGCATGTTAGTTTAATGTTTGAAGCAGTGGGACTGCATACAAACTAGCCTCGGGACAGGCTTCTGTAAATACTACAGGCCTCATTTGTCCCTCAAACCACATCTGAGGGTGGATGGGGCAATTCATTGTATGAGCATCTGCTTTTATCCAAACCACATTGGAAAGTGGTTGCACCAAAGTGCCAATGGTACATGCTATTCCAGCAAAGTGGTGCACAAGTATGCTGTTTTAATTTTCTTAGAAACTTCTCACACTGACTGGATGGATGTCATCTTTCTGCAGTGAACAGAGGGTCTGTAAGAAAAAAACAAGATAACATGCCTGCCATTATAGACAGTCCTTTTTCGTTGCTAAGAGTTACGAAAGAAGAAAGAAAAGTCCCTGACATTTCCCATGTCACCCGTGGCAACTGCTGAGAGCATGCTTCTCGGTGAAAGGTGAATTCCTCTGGGTGCGTGGCCCACCGCTCGCCTTTCCCCTGCCCAGATGCTTAGAATAGAAAATGTTTGCCTCCTGCAGCAAACATATTGTCACTCCCTTATGGCATAGTTTCAGCATGCAAATGAAGCTTAATAAGATGGTGTTGTTTAGTATTTACATAATATTGTGGCTCAAAGTAGTGGCAATTTTGAACTTTTTATCTCCCCTGGACTGTATTATTCTCTTTCAAGAAACTTGAAGACGAAAGTTCACAAGAAAGTGAATCCTTGACATTGGAAATGTCAGTTTACAAAACAATATTACTGCATGGTTCATTTAGTACTTTTATCAACTTCGTAGAAAATGTTCTAACCTTATTAAATCAAAAAAGTCTTAAGTACAACTTTCCTTCCCCATTATATCTACAGAAAAGGTGTCAAGCAGTGTTATCTAATGCAGTACATCAGGTGTTTTTAGGACATATGTCCATGGTTTCTGCATCATATTTTTGGACTACCAGCTGAACAAGAGAATAACCATAGGAAATTAATTAAAGGATAAGACCGGCAATAATTTGTATTTTGTCAGCTGTCACCAAATTACATGAAAAGACCCCATAAATTGTTCCTAATTAACAACTATTGTAGCCAAAGCCAAGTAGCCAAAAGCTGGTATATCTTATTTCCCTGTGCCACAAAGCTCCATTAGGGTCCAAAAACTATTAAAAACGTTAGCGCAGCAGCAGCTTCAGTCCTGTGCCCGATTACTACAGTTAAACAAATGGAAGAAAATACACTTGTAGTGTAGAAATACGATTTGTGTCGCATTTGTGGGCGTGTAGCGTGAATAAAACACGAGCTGTTACGCAGCCTGTGTTGACAGCTGTATAGATTAAAATAGAGTTCTATCTTTTCTGACGACTGATAAACATGGGTGAATCACCTCCTGTCAACAAGCTGTAAGACACCAAACATGTATTAATCCGCAACTGAAAGCAGTCCCAAAAAATTCACAATATATACTGATTTGAGATGCACTTAGAAACCAGTGGTTTTTTAAGGGAAATTAAAGAGCCTATTTTTAATGAACTAAATATTGAGAGTTTTTCATGGAATTTGTCGACAATCAGAACATGAATAACACCAGTCTTATCCTCTAACTGGTTGTACTTCATGTTAAAAGTAACTGTATTGCCGTTTCTGACAGACAGCTCATGCCCCATCGTGGTTGTTGCTTGGAAGGCTTGTGCCGTAGACTCCAGGTCCTAGAGAGCAATCAGAGCGAACCTTATTAGCCCGAGCCTGCACGCGTAGTCACTGTCCACTCCTCCCCACACTATGATTTAGGATGAGTGAGTGATTGAGCAATGCCTTGCTTTCCTCCTTCATGGAAAACAAATGCACACACAAACACAAACACACACACACACACACACACACACACATACGACTCTGGACCATCACTTAACAGTTGCCATGACAACGTTCAATACCCCTTCATTCCAAAACACATTGCAGACTTTCTAAAAATAATGTGTTGTCTTTTCTCGCAGACTCCTCTCCAGACGACGGCCTTCAGAGCAAATCCTCGTACAGTACAAGGTGAGACTGTAGAGGTATAGGGACTGATTAATGATAAATTACCTCGAGGGAAATAAACACCTACTGTATTTTAGTCAGTAGCTTTGTGAATTTCTGCTGCAATCTAATTATTGGTTGGTGACCTGAGAGACAGTCGGGTCAGAGTCTCCATGAAGCCCAGTGGCTAGACGGCTCTGGCTCTGTGTTGTTCCGGAGTCTGAAGCGAGACACGGAGCATGGAGCCAACATAAATACAGCAGACTCTCAGTGGGACAGAGAGAGTGAGGATACTGTTGGGAGTGCGGAGAGACAGATTAAGGCCATGTCAGCCACTGCTCCAACAGTAGAACAGACAGCCAGCTCATGGATGTGACTTTTACAATGATACAACCAAATTGTATATCTGGGAGAAATGAGCCTTGTGTATTCCGATACTCATTACAACGACCATCTCCACATCTCTCGTAACTATGGCTTCACCTATAGGACACACGCATATTGAAGCACATGCAAACTACCTTTAAAGGATATTACTTGTTTTTTTGGGAGGAAAACAAAAACAAAACGGTCCACATTGCAAAGAAGAAGAGAAGAATGTCAAATTTGTGAAATTCTGTAAACAATCTTGATGTGACATTGTGCAGTTGCATGAGTAAGTGGGCTGATGTGCCTGAAGTCGCCCTCATCTCCGTAGCCAAGAGCGATGAGCCATTCAGCGCTTGGATCTTATGTAACACTAGGGGATGGGCTGTCAGTGGGAAGGAAATCAAGCATCGTGTGATTGATTTCAAACGCAGACCATTGTTGTAACCATCATCAGTCTGTGACAAACAATCTGAGAGCGAGAGGAAAACACACTGACCTCGTTTAGCAGTAAAATATCCACAGAAGATCACTTTATTTAGTCTCAAGTAAGCACACAACATTTTTTTTTTAAGTATAGGATGGAATCCAGTTTACAAAGAGTGCGTGCTTGCATTAACTCTAATAATAATGTGCGTTTTTGGTTGAAGGATAACTAGGTGAAGTCATCGCTGTTCGGTAGCAGCTGATAATGATGAGGTAGACAGTGACACACCCAATATGTACATAGCTGGATGTTAATGGGATAACATGCCAGTTGTCAGTCATGCCTGCTAAAAAGACTTAATGCCACGTAATTGAAAACAGAGACATGGAGAACAACAACCTGCATAGGGTTGTGTACTAAGAAAAAATCACTACAAATACACCACCTACACAGTCAGTTACTAGACATTACACCTGTGGGTTCAATAGAAAACGCTTTTATAATATTCTCAAAGGATTGCACATTTAGAAGTTAATAATATTTGTATTACTTTGATTAAATGAAGAAAATCAATCTTTAACTACACATACACATTTCAGAATATAAAAATAAACTTTATAAATGTAAACTCAGACTAAAGCAATAATAACCACATATCAGCAGCTTGGATTTACAGTTGTATGGTGTTATTATCTAATACTTGGCGCACTGTTGCTAAGTTACTTGGCATCATGACCATGAATGTAAATAACAGCTGAGGATGATACATACAGTGTTATGGCAGAAATAATAATACACACATATTGGACAGTGTCAGCACACAGTATCTTTGTATTATTCGTTTCAATTAATAAATTAAAAAGGAAATCAATTAAGTTTGTCTTTGTTTCATAATCCAAAAACACATATTAGCTTCCAGCTACACGTCCATGTGCTCTGTGCTGGAGAAACACAGGCCACCCTACTTATCTTCACCTCTACAGCTGAGGTAATACTACGTTTGTAGCCACAACAACACAGTTAATAAGCATTACTGAAATAAGCAACTACAGTACAACAAAACTACTTAACACTAAAAATGACTGGAAACTGATAGACCAAGGAACAAAGATGTTAAAATTCCTCCAAGATGCCCTTTTAGTTTTAAACTCTAAAAATGTCACATAACAGTCTATTGGTTAGAGTTTAACAGTCAGCTGAAGCCTATTGAAATACTCACAACCTCTACTGAGGAGAGCATCACACACCATGTCAAGAAAGGTGCACGTGGACGTTAACAGTCATAGATCTCTGAAGAAAGCTATCAGAGAGTATAACAGTTCTTGTCAGTATCTCTTGAATATAACTGTTAACAGTTGCTTTGCTTATCATCAATAAGTTAAATGTTGGATAACAAAGTCACACACAAAATGATGTGTAATATCAATAGAAAACAGTAATGATTATGATTAAGGTGATAGGATTTTCTTCTGTAAAATCACATTGCTTTGTCCCAAAACTTTTAACATGTTTTGTAATTTATCACTGTGTTCCAGTTAGATAGAGAGCTGCCCATGCTGGCCACAGTAACCATTACAGTTTGAGTAGTGTGTGATGCCTAATATAATATCTAGTGTTTCACAATTGTGCAACTCTTTTAAGATACATCACAAAGACCACTACAGTCACTGTTATCATTTGAGTAGATATATAAAAGCCGTTATATACAAAGAGACTCAACAGATGTTGCTTTTTCTCAGTGTGAGGCGCTCAGATTACATGTCCAGACTTAGAAGAACTTAAGCAGGCTGGCTCAGATCCTCACAGCTGTACAGCAGCAATGCCTGGTAGCTAAACATCCACAGCAAAGAAAATAAACTCTGCGATTGGTCGATCCAATTGTAAAGTGTAACCACACCATACATTTGCTACGCTATGCGACCCCACTCACAGAGCAAATGTACAGCATTCCATGGCAACCACGTCGAGTGATTTGACAGCATCTGCTAAGCAGCTCCCCGCTGTGCACCTCAGTCAGCCTTGTCCTCGCCGTTTTTGGCCCACCCTCGGCTCATGGCTGCTACCACAATGCTGTACATGTTGAGCCAGGCTTGACGCAGCGGCGCCGTGTATGCCTGACCCAGACTGCACTGCAGCATGTAGAGAAGGGACTCACCCACCATCTGAAGAAGTCCAAAACAAACAAGAACACAAACACAGAGCAAAAAAAAACATATTTTTCACAGATCATTCACTTGTGAAATTGCTTTTTAAGAGTTGTACTAAGAAATATTCCCCCTACAGCAAATGACTGTGTGTTGACTCCCACTGCCTGATGCTTCCTCCCGAGGTTGAGCAGAAAGTCCTCCAAGGAGTGAAGGTCATCCAGGTGGCTGACTGCTGCGTCGATCACAAGCATCACCTGGGATCACGTGCAAATACACACACAGAGAGTATCCGCAACTGTGCACGGCACAAACTGTATACTTGTAGTGGTCAGTGCGGTGAACGGAGCTCACCTTGGTGACATGTTCCAGGAACTCAGGGCTGGAGAGGCAGTCTTGTGTGGAGCCACAGTTTGTACTGTAGTGGAAAAGACTGAGGAGCGCAGGGTCCAGCTCAAACAGTCTACCACAGACAAATACCACACTGTTCTATAGGTGTATACACACGGCACGGGTTGCCCAATATCCACACAGACACAAAATCAATCTGTAAATCATACATCTACAAATCTCTCCTGCTAGTCTCTGCTTTAGTGGCAGCTGTCTCAAAGTAAATTGTGGATTATTGCAGTCTGTCGCCAAGCAACAAGTCAAGCTTCCGGTCCCTGCATGGTGAAAGTGTGCAGCGAAAGATCTAGCTTGATTCTCTCTCCACATGTGATACATATTCTAACACCACAGCTGTTAAGTAACACAAAAAACAAGCAAGATCCTATTACAAAGGTTATATTAGAATCCATGTTAATAAACTGCACGTTTACAATGTTTTCTTCTTTCACAAATCACTTTACTGTCTAATTCAATTTGAATCATGCCAATGGTGTAAAACATTACCTGGAAAACATGACGACACCATGAGGAACTTTGTTCTTGCCCAGGCTCTCCCAGCTGCCTCGTATCAGCTCCTTGTCTTTCCCTGACAGCTTCTCCATCCTCCCTCAGGCTGTAAACACGAGACAAGTTCTTCTAGAGGGGAAACACACAACTCCTCTACAGGACGAGAAGGCTTAGTTTGAGGAAAGCCATAATATTCAACTTAATCCACAGACCAAACTTCTGCGAACCCACCTGGAAAACAAAGTGGAGCATCAACTGAGCGCAACACAGCTGATCTGTTAGAAGTGCTTCAGATGTAAAGAGGGGGACACGGCTGCAGGAGATATGATTCTCAGGCTAGAGATGCACAAACATACTGTACCTTCTGACTGTAGGTCAGTCTTCTCTCTGAACTTCTTCTGGTGCAGCCGGGCTGAGGGGTCTGTCTGTGTGTGTATGTGTGTCTGTGTGTGTGTGTGTGTGTGTGTGTGTGTGTGTGTGTGTGTGTGTGTGTGTGAGAGAGAGAGAGTGTTTGTGTGTACGCAGGCAGCAGCCTTGCCTGACACTCTGGTGCACTTGCTCTCTCTTTTCCCCGGCCCACGGTGCAGTCAGGGAGACAAGTTCTGCCACGCTCTTATCTGTCACACTGGCTGCTATCTCTCTCTCCCCTTCCCGTTTGCCTCTTGATATGCTCTCTCTCCAGCACTGGGGATATTATTCATGCCACTGAAGGAGAAAAAGAGGGATCTCTCTCTTCTGCTCCAGAGAGGCTGCAGCGAGCCACAGCTCCTCCTGCAGGTGAACCGAGGACTAAAACATACGGAGACTATACATGCATACACAACATACACTATACTTAACAAAAACACATGGCCTTTGCACTTCATAATCAAGAGAATAAAAAAAATTAACAATTATAAAAGAGAGAAAAGGAAAAACAGAAAATACAACATAAGCATTTCATACAGTGCCATTGCTGCAATTGTGCTCAGTAAAAACAGGTTTGAACCCAACAGCAAGACAAACAAGTACAATTAAAAGTTTACTCAACGTCGAAAATGTAAAAAACATGCATGCAGGAGAGATGAAGCCAATGTATCCAATAGGCTGGAGAGCAGGAGTCCATAAGGCAGACAGAGGTCGTTACAGGCAAAAGGCAGAGAAAATGGTTTGGAAATTGAGGCAGACGGGGGAATAAATGGAACTGGCCGGTAAATATGTTACTGGTCTGATAGGAAAGTGGGAACAGGTGTGCAGGTGGGTAAGGGAAATGGCCGCAAAACAGGGGTCATTGCGGGGCAGGTGGGACTTTCAGGCTCTTAAATGACGGAACAGTTAGTACATGGCAGGAGAAAAAATGCAGACGAGGAAAATGTGAGACTAGGAACTCGCTGACATTGTGACAGTGAAGTCCATTTGAGGCCTATATCATCTATTCTAGGGTGTGTCCTCAACTGCCTACATTTGCAACCCTTGCATTTACAGAATTAAATGTGTGGGAATTTTTATATCGTTCAGCGGCTGGAATAATAAAAGACCTGAACGCACCACCTTGGTGAAATTATATTGTTCATCTGCAAAGTAGAGCCACTCCTCAAACAGTGTGATCATAACATTCGGTGCCCAAGTGCACAGCCTTTCATTAATCTAAATGAGATGTGTTTGTTCCCTTTCTCAGCTTCCACACACATTCGAGGAAGCACTACAGTTTGTTTAAAGACATGTCACAGGCGCCTGCTCCCTCATGCATTTCACAGGATGCAGGTTCTCATTCGGATATTATCTAACAGGTTGAGAGAGATTGGTTTTGTTTTCAGCCGTGCACCGGGGAATCAGAGGTGCACAGCGCTCTCCTGAGGGACTACAAAGCAGAGTGGGGAGGGATACACGGTTCCCATGACAACCTGACAGGATGGAGCCCTTGAAGCTTTGTCATGTGATGTTTGAGATCTCAAGAAAAGGACTATTTATTACATCTATTAGTACTACGTAATAACAGTTTTGCTTTCTGACTTTTGTTATCTTTTTAATTATGCACAATTAATCATATTCTTATTTTAGTATTTTAAAATGTAGGGATGCACATTAGTGTGGAAGCAGAAATGTGTAATGTAATTGTATGTAAGACATCAAACTCTTATCTACATGTTACATTTCAAATTTCAATAGTTGTGACCTTAAGAAGAATTTGAATGATTTCTTGATCTGAACTCATGCAAACATTGCCTTCAATAGCTTCAATACGCAACACAGTGGCCTGCAAGAGGTACACACATGGTATATATGAACTTGTCTCCATGATTACATTTTGATTATGATTATATACATATTTAGACATTCCCATGTGGCTTGTAAGTAAAAATGATCTCTCAAATTCCTGGCAGTCAGCTGTATAAGCACAAGTGTACAAGCGTATTTGATGTGGGTCTATGGGCTTGGAGCAGACCACTAAACTGGTCTCTGTGAACTGTTTATTTAGGTGGCAGTGTGGCTGAGGAAACAACTGGGAACTTTAACCCAAACATCTGAGAAAGACCCATGTCAGACGCTTGGTGTCCTTATGGGAACTGCTAAATAAAAAAATATAAAAGTACTTGATTCTTTAACTCAGCTAAAGAAAATTACAACTAAGAGCAGTCAAAGATACAATATCTCACTGTAAAAGCATATATACTGTATATATTTTTTTTAAATATCGTAAGCTTCTTGATTTAGTGTGGGTAGAGCGCAAATTAATGTTACAGACACAGTGGTCTTAACTGGGGTTCTCATTTTGTTTTTCCAACTGTTTATTCTGGTAACCAAGTGTTCATTATCCTCTAAATTACAGTGTTCATATTCCTTAGCAAAATTGTTGTCATAAAACCAAAAGTAGCTTTTTTATTTTCAGCTTAATCTGCTCTTGAAATGTCACGCAGATTGTATACATATATGTGTGTGTGAGTTAAAACATATAAAATATTAATTACTTATAAACATATACAGTTCTATAAACTTTTATTTTCTTTCAGTTGTGATCTCCAACATTTGTGATTGTAGAGTCCAGATGTTTTGTAATTTCATAATTTATAGTTGCACAACTATCAAACGCTTGGTGCCGATAGTTAGCTGTGACATTTTTGAGGACAGTGTTGTTTTCTAGCTGAGAGGCCACAAAAAACTCTGTGCCGCCTGAACCTTTTTGATCATGGCATTTCTTCCCCTTTGGACTTCACGCTCTTCTCTTCCACATCTTCAATTTTCTCCCCGTCGTCTACATTTTCTTCCCTAAATCAGACATGTTGGGTTAGAAAATGGCTATATTGTAATTACATCGAACTTTTACTTGGCTACAGTATTTGTCTTTTCTTCTCTAAAGGCTGCAGGGCAAGCTCAGAAAATTATGTAATGTAATATGACCAAACCACATGAAGTCCTTGGCTCTCCAGCACCAGTGCTATTCATAATTTTACCGGACACAGTGGTATTACATAGTGGATGAACAAAACAAAAAATTCTCATTCTGCATACCTGCTATGAATTTCATTCTCATCTGTATCGTCCTCTGACCTGGATGATGTTGGCGTTCCTTCAGCTGCTTCTCCATTTTCTTCAACAAATTGCTCTTTTAAGCCGGCTATCTTCAGCTTGTTCCTGTATGTCTGCTCTGCGTGAGCCTTTGCATTTTTCTGCCAGTAAAAACACAAAGTTAATGTTGGAAGGGCATGTCATTTACAATATGATGTAATCTTCTCAGCTTACCACGTCATTTACCTGTTTCACCTGTTCGAACAAATAAGGGCGTTCACTGACTCGTGTCTTTATATCTCGTAACTCCCTCATGTACTCTCTCATCCTTTGTCGGTCAGCTTCCCTTCATGTAGGAGAAGATTATAGCTTGAGCTACTGTGGCAGGCGTGTGTGGTTGTTGTGATTTGAGTTGCAAAGGTTGCAGAATTTGGTGAATGAACGGCTTCACTTGACCAGCACTCACCGATGATGCTGTAGTTTTTCATTATGCACTTCTTTCAAGCTGCTGTGTGGGTCCAGCAACTTTGCATGAAGTGTGACTGCCTTCTTCATGGCCTGGGACCTCATTTGGTGCTTCCTCAACCAGTCTGCACTCTCTTGATTCTTGCTATCCCTCATCTCCATTGAATTTCTATGAAGGTGAAAATATGCTGTATGTCAGGGGATTCAACTATTTAGTTTGTAGAAACTATACGGAGGATAAATCGATTGTCTTATGCCAAAAAAACCCAAGTCACCTGATGGCCATGCAGCGCTTCCTCGCAGCATCTGTGATGTACGTGGGGAGTGTGTCTGTGGACAGCGATGTTAAGGCCCCAAGTGACTTGCTTCTACTGAGATTACTTATTTTTGGTACCTGTAAATGAGGGGGGGGGAACAGTTAACATTTTTGTTAAACAAATTTTAGAATCACCTTAGAAATAAAACCCTACATGGTGAAGTAGTAACACCAGCAAAGTATTGTCAATATAAACTGATGTACCGTTCAGTGCAATGAGTTGAGACAGATATAGAAGGTTTTCTGACAGATGATAAAGTGTAGCACAGCCAAGTGAAAATGATTAAGAATTACTTTTGACATTTTCTGTCAATAAACAAATAAATTGTGTGGAAAAACCCTCAGTAATTCCAAAATAATATGCTTAGTAATAATGGACTTATTTTGATTTCTAAAATATAGTTTTCAGTTTTTGTTTGTGTCAAGAATCACTGTGAGAATAGTCAATACGACGTACTTCACCAACATTCATGAAAAAGATTAATTGATGAGATACTGATGGCTTTAGAACCACAGCTTAATGTTAATGTCTATGAGGTCACAAATAGAATAATGTTTTTGTTTGTTTTGCCACTTTTTTCGAGAATCTGTATAAATCCGTCAGTTTCTGTGATCATTATTAACTATGAAGAACCTATGTCATGTTAATCTGTAATTATACCTAAACAGTAGCTCTTTACGTGCCATACCTTCGTCTGCAGGGCTAAGTATATCTATAGCGTATATAGCAATTACTGACATGGTTCATAAAATCTGTGGTAGTAATTTTGGCCAGACGATAAAAGAAAGGAAGACAGGAAAGAACTTTCACTGATCACAAAGTTCGTTCTACCACTTTGGATTAGTGTAAATTACGGTTACTCTTATTTAATTAGTGTTCTAATTACTTTTACTCTGTAATACCCTTGTGTGAATCATTCACCCAGACAAATATCAACAAACATATATAGCAATGGTCATGTGAAATATGTAATTAATCTCATAAAAATATATATTTCTGCTTGATTTGAGGAACAAAAAGTGAACAAATATGATGTCATACATCAGGCACTGTAGAAATGGGGCTTGAGTTAAACTTTAATTAAAGTATGTGGTGGAGAAAGTTTTAAATTCAACTATTCACAGGAGGGGACTATTCCCTCTATGGGCCCACTGTACATATTTTAAATAGCTTTACAGTTCCACAACTGAGCAGACTGGTCTGAACGACCTCAAGAAATAAGGCTTTTGTCACATTTTATGAAATAAACATTTTTGGGTGTTGATGGACCACAGGAATACATGTAACATGATGTAGGGTAAACATCTGTTCTTATTAGGTCAGTTATTGTAATTTGGTGAAATCATAGCGATGTGAAGCTTTTTTAAAAAAGCAATGATTTAAGTAATCAGAACTGTTTGTCATCTGGAAGTTTAGAGGCTTTGAGGAAGTCTAGTGGTTTCCTTAAAAAAAAGAAGAGTATTGACTTGATAAAGTGGTGGGTGGATGTGACTCGAACCATCCATCAGGCAGAGATGTAATGTACAACTATAATGTGAAGCCATCTGGTGCTTTGGAGTCCTGGATGTCTTCTTACGTAATTCCTCTTCAGACACAGGCTCTTCGACACAGGCATTATTCTTTACATTTAATGAGGTAATATTTCTGAGAAAGTCATTAATTCATTCTCAGACCCCTGTCAAAAATAAAATATTCTAAAACTTAAATTAAATTAATGAACTGCATGTAAAGAAGAAGTAAGAAGAAGAGAAGTAACTAAAGCTAAGGCAGTTCTGGGGTAAAGGAAGGTTTTACCTGTGAGTTTACAGGGCTTATCCTACTTTGCCTTGCAGGTAGAGCTGATGTCCTCAGATAGAAGGGCTTACATTTTATCTGATCTTTACTCTGTGTTTTTCTCAGCGCCTCGGTCTGCAAGGCTTTGTGCAGCCTGCTGAAATCAGGGACCTGGTGGATGATTTTGGGCTTGAAGCTGGGTCTCTCATCCAGGAATCCCAACTTTTCTTTCCTGGTGCGCTCAGCAGTGCGAAGTTTTGGGCCGCCAGACACAATAGGATTCTCACGTTGCACTGTTTTCTGTTTCTGAGCGGAGACTTCTCTGCAAAGCTCCTGGTCTGCACAGAATTACAATAAGTTAAAGTAGAAGACGGAGACGTGTCACAAAATGTGATCAGATGTACTGTATACACACATTATATAAAATATAATTACATTATAGTACAATCCATACAGTTATATAGGGTCTTTCAATACAAGACAGATAGTCAGGGACTCCTTTGTGATATCACCATCATTAAAACTGAACAATGAATTTAAGGAAAATGACCCAACATACAGTGAATACAGTGAATACAAATACATGATATGTGAAATAACATGTATTTGTAATGTTGTCTAAAGTTTATCAGCTCAAGAAATCTTGAGCAGCAGAGCATGCATTTCTACAGGTTTCTACATACTATTATACTACAATTTTGTAAATCCTTACATCTCTTTTATTACTTATATCTGGAGTTGTACCTATTTGGGCCTCTAAAAAACTCTAGAAATCATTACTCTTTAGTTGGTTGCTCACAACTCATTGACAATAATCTGTTCTAATGGCAGTATATTCTGTGACACATACTGTAGAGTGATGTTACAAAGAATCTGATCTCTCCATATTTTCACTGTAATTCCAACGATTAAACCGAACACTCTACCAGCTGGCATCATCCATTCAGAAAAGGAAACCCACCTTTTAGCTCAGATTCTGAAGAGCCTTTTAGCTCTTTGTGGGGAGATTTCCTAAAATTAGCAGCCTTGTTTTTCTGATCACGAGAGGCTTGGTTTAGCTTTTCTATCAGATTCTCCCTTTTATCTTTTTCCCTCTCCAGGAAGGTGAAAGGTTTTTGAAAGGAGAGCAAAAAGTCCCTCCTCTGCTCACGGCCCTGCTTCCTCTCCTTCTCCCTCAGCTCCATCATCTCCTGATAGAGCGGCTGAACGACATGGCTGGGGACTGGCAGAGCGCAGAACTTCTTCTGACACTCGGCCTCAGCCTCCTCCTCTTTGCTCATCTGTGTTGTTTTACATGAAGCTAAACGCTCACACTGTTGAGTCCTGGAAGGAGTCAGCGTGGAAGTCTTCCTGACTGAACAATGCTTCCAGTTTGTTGAAGATAGCCAAGCTGGAGAAGATAAGTAAGACCTTTCTGATTGTCTGTGCAAGATCTCTTTGCCTGAGGTCAGGGCAGATGTGGAGGTGGATCTCCTCATTCCCATATTTCTGGAAGAAATGGGAATGGAATGGGAACAAATGGTGTATATTATGATTATGACAAAACATAAAAGACATTTTAAGAAACCTACTTGTGCTGATGGTTTAGTTCATTTTTATCCCCAGACTCTTGGTCAGTTGACAGTAGAGCGTTCTGATGAATCCTCCTCTCCAGCTCCTCTCTCTGTCTCCTCTCTGTCTCCTGCATCTGCTGCCTGAGGGCCTCACTCAGGGCCTTCAGCTGTTGCTGGAGCACTAACTCTGATCTGAGTCCATCTTCCAGCAAGGTCTCCAGCTTTGACATATTTCTCTAAAACTTAAAAAATAATAATAATAATAAGTAAATAAACAGGGATAGGTTAAGTGAAAAAAAATCACAGTCAATCAAAGTTCTTTTTCATTTCTCTATCAAATGAAAGCAAATTCACAACAATTCTGACAACTGATTTAATGTGGAAGTTATTTATCAAGCAAAATAACCAAACTTCCTATGGATCCATATTATTTAATTAATTTCATTATTTTTTATTTTTTCAGTTACTTAAATGTACACTTCCAACACAAAACTTTACACAAAATAATAAGTTGTGATCTGGGACAAAATAATACACATGATCAAAAATAAGCAGGGAGAAGGAAAATATTTTATTACTTAAGTGTCATTGAATACTTTCAACAACATTATGAGACAGGTGTCCACTTGTCCACACATTTGACATAAACATTACTCTGTTACTGTATTGCTCTTGCATAGTTTCTATTTTACTTATATTCTTATTTTAGTTTTATATACCTCTTACCATTTATTTTCTACTTTCTCTAATTATTTGTGCTTATTTCTGTCCTTGTGCTGCTGCAACAACTGAATTCCCCCTATGGAAATAAAGACTTATCTTATTTGATCTCGGCACATTTTATTAAATTATAATATAACGATTAAATAAACTGGCAAAATTTGACTGGTTATTCCTTTATGCCAATTCCATAAGCAAAAATTCAACATTGTCTGGTCCTCTCAAATGTGAGTGTATGTTGGTATATATGTTGGTTTTATTAGTTGTGAATGGTTTTGTAAACTAAATATCTTTGGGTTTGGACCATTGGTAGAACAAAACATACAACAATATATCAACATGGGCTCTGGGAAACTGTGATGGACAATATTCTTGCATTTTGTAGACCTAACCATCAATCGATTATTCGAGAAAGTAAATGGAAAATAACTAATCTAAATAACTCTTAGTTGCAGCTCTAATCTTAAATAATGAGGATTTGCTGTTTTTCTCAATTGTATGTCAGCATACATTGAATCTCTTTGGGTTTTCGATGGTTGGTTTGGATAGTTGAAGCTATTTGAAGAAGAATTTACAATGGGCATTTCTCATTATTTTATTAATCCAAATAAATCAAGTTACCCGTAGTTGTCCTGTTTTGTATTTTAAGGCTTGCTGATATAAACTTGCTGTTAACTCCACGTCCGGTCTGTGTAAACGGGTTGCCTTGGAAACCAGAGCTCTGCGCTCTAAACAGTGCGTAATGTCGATTTAAGGACTTGTATTCAGCGTCTGCTAAACTAGGTTTCCATACGTATTCGCTTTTATACAAACCTGCTTTCTATTTACTGCCACTTGAAAGCACACGGTAAAACAAATTAAATCAACGATATTCACAAATGGAAAGTAACAATGAGCCGCCAACCTGATAAAAGATGAGTTTTAGGAAGTGTTTCTTGGCGTCAAACCGTCTTCCAAACGCCACCAAACGTTACACCTCCGCTGACGAGATACGCTACAGCTTATCTGGACAGCTAACGCGGTCTGTTGGCGAATTAAAGTTCATAAGAGTCTTTGTATTACACCTGAAACGAAGCGAGTGTCTTTTACTCCTCAGTTTTGGTAACATTAGCACTGTTTGTGGACATGAGCGGCAACGCCAGACGCAAAATACGTCCTCTGTGATTGGACGCCAAACCGGAAGTACTTCCTCCGGAGCGGTTGTCAACACAACATGGCTGGATTACAGGAGAGACACAGCTGCTGTTATTAGGACGTTCAAGGGGACACGTTTATCTGATTGACATATGATTAGTATCTAGATTTTAAAGGTTGTATTTGGTTTCTCCTGTTCAATGCGGGGCGTGTCCCATATGAAGACAGAGTGAAGACAGAATCATGCATAAGCTCACACAGGCGACGCTGGCCTTAAACGGCCTTGGCCGGTGTTTTATTGCAGAAAAGCATTTATCTGCTCTAAAGATCATCAGCCGGGGATTAGTGTGTGCAGAACACGGAGACGACTCTGGCAAGAATGAGGTTTATGATGTTATTATATCCGGGGGAGGAATGGTTGGATCTGCTATGGCATGTTCCCTAGGTGAGTAATGCTCTCCCAGCACTGAATAACCACATTTTGGTGTGTGACTTCAGATGTTATTAACCAGTCAATTTAAAAATAAAACATAGTGCTATCAGAAGCTGTCTTAATTCACTTGAACCTGCGTTCCTGCAGATAAACCCATTGACACTTGGGATAATTACTCTAAAATAGCGAGTCAAATGTGATGCAATGTGAAAAAACATGTTGAGTCAGATTTTATGATTCCAGGAAAACACTCACAGCTTCACCACAAGATTTGAGCAATGCATACCACTTTAGAAACACTGCTGAGAATTATGTGCTGTCATTTTGATTGTATATGGTATTTAAATGTTTTTTGACAGGCATGGATCCCAACTTGATGGGTAGGAAGATTCTTCTGCTTGAAGCTGGAAACAAGAAAGTAATAGACAAGGTCCCGGACACGTACAGCACCAGAGTCAGCTCCATCAGTCCGGGCTCTGCCACCCTCCTCAGCGGTACAGTATACACTGACACAACCTGACACACAAAAACATTATCACATGGTCTGTGACATTTAGTTTTTTGTTATGTTCTTGTTGAAAGGCGTTGTGCATTTTAAAGAGCGGTTTCGTCACAGACAGAAAATAAATCAAAAAGTTATTTCTGTGGGGATTAGCTGTGAGAATCTGGTGGAGCTAGACTGTTAAATGGCTCTGACAAGGTAAGCCAGGGATCAGACACTGTCCAGTCATGCTGGCTAAGAAGGGATCATATCTGACCTTAATTGTTCCTCATGTGATAGGTCACCTGGGATGTTTCCTGACACTAAGTATCTCTCTCAAGGTTAGAGATTTTGGCAGTCAGGAAAAGGGAGAGTCTGGGATTGCAGGCCACGCAATTTAAGTTTGATGAACTCATATGTGAAACATGTTCTCTGTCCTAATTCTGCAATCTCAGGTCTAGAATCCATTAAGAATAGGTGAAAATGACCATAAATCCAGAACACATGCTACTGGCACATACAACCACTGTTTTACACACAAATCTCTTACCAACGAACAATATTAAGGGGTGAGAACCAGAGGGGCGTAAATAACATTTTGGGCCAAAATTTTCTTATACGTACATATATATCTCAAATGAAAGCTCTTGATGAGCTCGTTCTACTGGAAAGGGCACCTGTGAATTCTATACCAATTACAATGAGTTATTGATTAAAAAACAAAAATATATCAGTTCATTAAGTATATTGTCATCCACATCTTTATGTGGTTTTAATACGAAAGATTAAACATCAGAACAAAGTATGGTCACTGTTTGTTTTGACTCTCCTAAAAAGTTAGTCAAATGTTACTTACGCCCCTCTGGTTCTCACCCCTCAATATGAAAGTTTACAAAGAGAAATACAGATTATATGTAAATTCATGTTTCAGCCAAGATGTATTAGCAAATTTAAAATGCCTCCAAAAGGATTTTTATCATGTGAGACCGTCAAAATAGATATGAAACTACATCATTGGCTAAATTGCTTTCATGGTTGGACAACTAATTTCATCCAAATTTATTGTTATTAAGGTTCTTAAAATAACATGTTTAATATGTAGTCAACTTAGCAGTTAAGTGATGAGAGCACAGACAACAACAATTACAATATCGCCCCAGTAGATCACAAGTCAAATAAAGTCAAATTATATTATATAACCCAAAATCACAAATCACAATTTAACAGGGAAAAAATGGAAGAAACCTCTGGAAGAGAGGAAGGATCCATCTCCCAGGCCAGACAGACATGCAATAGATGTCTAGTGTACAGAACAAACCAACAAAATCACATTATATACACACTTTGATGACACAATTTCTAATACATGAAGATTGTAAAATAGTAAAATATAAGTGAAGGACATAATGCAACATGACAATATTTTTAGTAACAATAAGCCAGTGAGAGATAGAGAGGTTAAAGCTTTGCTTAACAAACTCACTTCACTCCACTCACCTGCATTATTGCATTTATTGACTTTACAGTGTTAACACTGAAATGTCAATAGAGTATTTGAAAGGATTGCAGAGCGAAGCAGTTTATTTCAAGCATAGTGCCCGGCTGTGACCTCATCGCCTGCCACTGGCACCTGCGCAAAAAGTAAAAGCTCAGCCAGTTCTCGCATGTTGCACAAAATCAAACAATCAGCGAGAGATCCAGAGATAACCTAGGTTTTCAGTATGTTCAGTATAACGTTCAGTATAATGTTTTTACCATGAGTGTGTTTCCATCACTAGATCAATGTAACATGACTTGTAAAACACTGTCAATGCAATGTTGCATTAAATTAGTATTGTAATTGTTTTGTAAATGTGTTTATGCACACACAGGTATTGGAGCATGGGAACACATCACAAATATGAGGTGCAAGCCCTATAAAAAGATGCAGGTATGTTGATCTTCAGCTCACCATTAACATTAAGTTGCTTTTTAAAATCTATGCAACGCAAAGGTACAGTAACCAGCATTGTACTGCTATGTAAAAAAATCACAAAAGTATAATTTTAAGGCAAACTAGAGCCAATGCTGCAGTACTGAGAATTTCCCAAAATCTTTCTGTTACACAACTTGAGTTTTTCTTCATATGTCTTCCAGACAGTCTAATTTACAGGCATACTGTATGTATTTCTGTCATCCATCAATCACAGCACCATACAATTTGTGGAGAGAAAAATCTGTGACACTCAGCCTGTACTCAGTCATTCAGCTTAATGAACAAGCAACACAATACTGTATCATATAATCATGTGTATGGTATGTAATTGTTCACATTAAAATGGCAAACAGCGGTTTCATGTAACATGCATTTTGTTCATTCCTTTGTGCAATTTATGCCCTTTCAGTAGCTTTGCAGGATCTGTGGCACAAGGAATGCCAAAAGGTATATTTAAAAAAAAAAAAGCCCTTTCATCTGGTACATTCAAACTACGGGATGGTTCTCTGACCATGCAAGTTTTATTTATTAAAGCCATGTTTTCTATGAAGAGTAAATCATTTTGACGTTTTCAAATTGGTACTCGTTCCCCATATCGTATAATTACGAAGATTCATGTGAACAACGGGAAGAAGATGAAAGATTAGGAGGAGAGTGGTTGTTTGCTGCAGAGTGAACCCGCTTTACGGCTGTGGGTGCAGGCTCAGTCCCTCTTGTAAGATGTGGTCGGTGTGTACCAAACACTCAACAGCAGGGTTTCTCTCTGGGCCTAAGATGTCATCATGCAATGCCTTACAGTGATTATGGTAGTGCACCTCTCCCATTATACCTTCACTCTGTTACCACTGTTTTGGCTTGTTTGCCCGTTGAATCTCAGTCATATACATCCCCAGCCATAGCACTGGAAAATACGTACTGCAGGTTCTAAATAACATTCTTTCCATGCTATAAAATGCTCTTCTACCGTAAATGTCCAGTAAGCATTGAGGGTTTAGATTTGGAACAGAAGGCAAATGAAGTTTTTGCCATTAAGGCATCATTTTGCCCGCATTTTTCTCTATAAAGTTGCAAGGAAGTGTATTGTTTAAAGTATGTAGTAACTCCACTCCGAAGCTACATCATTTCACCCTGCATTAAAAAAAACAACCCAAAACAATTTTTAGGCTGGTCTCAGTAAATCTTTCTCCCCAACCACTTATCACAAGTTGCAAACCCACTGCCATTAGTGGTTTTCTGTGGGGTATATCCCCCTACTTTATGGCAAGTTGGAAAAAAGTAGTGCAGCAGCATATTACTGCAGAATGATGGGTTCTGTCGCCATAGTTACAAGCCAGGAGATGATTAACCTTGTACAAACACTTTTCACCCCCTCATGTTTAACTCAAATGGTGCTTTCAGGGTTTGAATTACAGAAGCCTACAACTATATCTTATTCTACCACTTTTGGCTGCGGATAAATATTGACCCACTCTTTATGTTCACAAACATGTCATTTGTTATTTGTGTTTCCAAATGTTTTACGAAAATCCACATCACAAAATGTCATTTGGTCTTCCACCTCAGAGAGGGCTCCATTAAGCTGGAGTCAGCCGTCCAGCCAGAGGGGGGTGTTGGTGACCCTCATCACTCCGGGTTTGATGTATGCAGGCTGTGCCAGCTTTTCAACAGCAGCTAGCAACTTTGATGTGTTCAGCTCAATGAAGCAGCACCAGCTATATATAGGGAGAGGGGATGCACTTAAGGATAGACTTGCAGACCACATGCATAATGAGTCCTCTCATTTAGGTTTGGGATGCTTGCTCTGATGCCCTGATCACTTTCGATAAGGAGAACCTGCAGGACGAGATGGCATACATCGTGGAGAACGACATCATTGTGGCTGCACTCACTAAACAGCTGGACACTCTGTCCGGTAAGCACTGCGTTTATGATTAAAACATGAAGCCCATACACAGTAGCAGCGCTCTGTAAGACTTCTTGATTCCTGTTCCATCTGCCTAATGGACGCCGAGTCTGGCAGCTAATGCCACCACATTTATTCCATCCTGTCCCCAGGTTTTGTTTATTTGTACTCTCTCCCGGTGACTGTTTTTAAAGACAAGTTCAGCCCTTGGAGCCATTCGTGTTTTTCCTGCAATTTCGATCAAAACCTCACATTTTGGGAACTGCCGAGCCCCGGCACCCTCTGAGGACACGTGAAGTGGTCCAGTGACCTATTTAAAGCTGCCATGTGCTCCCAAGCTTTGCTACCTTTTAAGACACTAAAGCTCTGACACTGTGTAGTGTTGTATTGCTGTTGACATTAGACCAACTTTTGTGAGGTTCGCAAATAAAACCTTGCTCTGCTATGTGCTTGACAGTTAAACTGGCATATTTATAAACAGTTTTCAACATTTTGCACCAAACAACGGATGTGTGGTTACAGCACGTTTTTGCCTCATGTGCCTCCCATTTGTCCGTTTCTCTCTCTCCTCTCATTTCAGCTGTGGTGTTGTTAGGTTCAGTGCAGTACATGAGAATTGTGCTCTGCGCCAGCTGTTTTCAATGTAACCCTGCTCTCCAATCACTGAAAACCCATATTTGACATTTGTGTTCAGGAACCAGTAGCCGTTCTGTGGATGGGTGCCGCTCCAAGTCAGCATGAGCCAGCGTAGCTCAGGATCCTTTCATGTTTGGGATGTCCAGCTGCTGATATTTTAGGAAAGAGGGGCCGTTTTAGTGCAAAATCTAACAAGCTGGCAGCATGTGCAAAGTGTGGCGTGGTGTCCTTGTAGATAAACACTATTAGTCAGGGCAATGTGGCAGGCCGAGACCATTAAGAAGATTGTCAAATGTGAAATTCGGCAGCTACCATGTGCCAGGGAGGAAAACCAGTAGTGTTTTATGAGGTGGTTTATAGATCTTCCACTGCTTCGGCTGCAGGCAAGCAGTCCTCTCGTTTTGACAGAAAAAGAAGCAAAGCACTGATTTAGTGTGATGATACATACACAGGACCAAGATTGATCCCTTTGTTGTGTGAGAGTCACACCAGTTGCAATTTTATTTTGAAAAGTGCTGCGTTTTTTTTCTTCTTTTCTGCTGCCCTTGTGGTCACCAGTTTTATGTCCTTGTTGTCCGTCAGATAACGTGCAAGTTAAGTACAGGTCCAAGGTTGTGAAGTACGCGTGGCCCATGCCCCATCAGGCAGCAGAATCCATCCCATGGGTCCAGGTCACGTTGGCCAATGGAGAGACTGTTCAGACCAAGCTGCTGGTCAGTTTGATTCCGTCACACAAGCTGTTCATCTGTCCTTGTCCCTTTTCTGTTTGTTTTTTTACTGTTTCCTTTTCCTCGTCTGTTTTTCAGATTGGTGCAGATGGACCAAACTCAATGGTGAGGCGGGAATTGGGGATACCCACAGTCAAGTGGAATTATGACCAATCTGCTGTGGTTGCTGTCCTGCACCTATCAGAGGTGAGTATGAACACATTCATACAGTTTAATTTTAATTATATAATGTGTGTCATGCATCACTCCCCACATATTATATATATATTTATAATTTGAACATGCACTATGTTATGTTACTGTGTGTGAATATACTGAGAATTTTTATTATGATAGTAATTTTAATGTCACATCTGTCAGCATGCTTAGAACAATACACCCACCCAGAAGTACCATTTATAATATCTTGTTTGTATGTGCAGTGTGTGTAATTAAAATGTATGCCCTACAATGCAATGCCACAATATTTCAGTATAATATTTAATTTAATCTAATTTATGTGTTTGACAGCCCACGGAGAACAATGTCGCATGGCAGAGGTTCCTCCCAACAGGACCCATTGCAATGTTACCGGTAATACATCCGCATTATTTACTGCAGTATTTTTTTCTTTTTGCAAAATATCCATCTGTCACATAGTATTCAATGTCAGTGTCCATGCTCTGTGCACTGCAGCTGTCGGACACAGAGAGTTCCCTGGTGTGGTCAACCACCCATCGACTCGCAGAGGAGCTGCTGGAGCTGGATGAGGAGAGCTTTGTCGACGCTATCAACTCTGCCTTTGTAAGTCTTGCTCCAACCTTCAAACTGCTGATGTTGTGTTTCAAGTCATTTTTCCACATGTGTCAGGGAGATGTTGCAACATTTCTGTATTTGTGCGCAGCATGCTGTATGTGGCAGGGGTTCTCCGTAGACTTGCTCACGTGTTGAGCTGTTTTTAGTGACTCATGCAAACAATATTGTCATTGTTTTGCCCAAACCTTTTACAATACTAATATTTCTCTATCCATTTTTTTATGTTTGGAGAAACTCCTTTTTCCCAAGCTGGCTATTTTTACTGGGCCTGCTGATGGACGGGGTCACCACGGTTGAGTCACGTTTGGTTTCAGGCCTGGTTTGCTAATTAAACCTGTGGTCTCCCAGTGTCGACCATTACTGCATGGAATGTTTTTCAAACAGAGCTAATTCAACTGCATAGCCTGGCCGGCATCTTCTTTTAATTAGCCCAGCTCCCGAAGCCCTGCCAAACCAGTTAGTTAGGGAGGGGAAAAAAAGCACTTTCGCTGGCCTGGAGTTCAGCTTTGCTTCTATGTCAGCTAATTTCTTTGTCCACTCAAAGGGACAATGTCTGTTTTCTCTCTCTTCTGGCCATTTCTCATTCTCTGTGAATATGTCTCTGTCTTCTCGCCTGTCTGCATGTGCACCAACAGTGGAGTAATGAGAACCAGTCGGAGCTGATTGAGACGGCTGGCTCTCTGTTCCGCGGCGCCCTGTCAGCCATCATGCCGTCTGCAGGTTCACCTCGACAGCTTCCCCCAAGTGTGGCGGGGATTGGCCCAAAGACCCGAGTCATGTTTCCTCTGGGCATGGGTCATGCATCTGAGTACATCAGGCACCGGGTAGCTCTCATTGGGTAAGATAGCCACAGTGAAAGTAATGGCCTGCACATTAACACTTTAAGATTGACCTACAAATCAAGGCTTTTGAGCTGGTGATTGTTTTCTCAACTAATGTTTACTGTGATCTTGCACTGTGCATAATATACTGTGAGTTGAATGCATTTGAACAGAGGGGGGGATATGTTTGTCTTTGCAGGGATGCAGCCCATCGTGTCCATCCACTGGCGGGTCAGGGAGCCAACCTGGGCTTTGGGGATGTGGCTTGCCTCACAGAACTCCTGAGCCAGGCGGCCTTTAACGGGAAGGACCTGGGTCAGTGAGAACTCTAAACAGACACAAGCGCTGCCACCATAGCACAGTGGTTTCCCCCTAAGCTCTTTTCCATAGCCCCAGCTCACACGCATGCTGTTGATCTGAATTATAAAAAGCATCAGCCTTTCCGGTAACATTTATTTCATGTTTTTTCTGTTAATTCTGCCAGGAACTATATGTAAGTTGCTGTTCAGAAAAAATGAAATCCTGTTATGAGATATTATGCTTATTTTTTCCTACGTTAAATAGCCTGCAGTCAAAATAGCACCAGTGTATTGACTTAATGCAGAAAACATATGACAGACAAGCTTAAACTCTCTGCTTTTTAACTCCCATTCTCTTGTTTGTTTGTGCAGGAGCAATTCAGCACCTGTTAGAATATGAAACTGAACGCCAGCGACACAACCTGCCCATGATGGCTGCCATCGACCTCATGAAACGGCTTTATTCCACTAATGTTGCTCCTGTTGTTCTCCTACGCACCTTCGGTCTGCAGGCCACCAACATGCTCCCAGCACTTAAAGTAAGCTCCTTCTTCTTTTGGCATCTACACCCAAACATCCTGTTCACCTCTCAGATAATATCAACCACCTGTCAAACCTTAGCTCCGCCTCCACCCTGACCCACCCTCCACCCTCTTTTTTGATTACACGGAGCTTTACTTTAGTGGTGTCTATAATTTCCAGGGTTCTGAACCTACTACTATGGCATCTAAGTTTAGCCCCAAATTTAGTGTTACCAAAAGTACGTGGGTGGGGTGCAGGCCTGGCCCTGGGGCAGCGGACAGCGGTGTTGGCTTGTGTTTTCACACTCCTTTTATTACCGACCACTCATGTGAAATGGCTTTATTTCCTACTAAGTGATTCAGACCAACACAACTATAACTGGTTGTAAAGGCATTTCACCATGGTGGCAAGTGAAACGTGACATTTCTTTCCATATTAAATGTTGTGACTTCACTGGTTTACAGGTCTTGTATAGAGGTCTGCTCACTTGTAACAGGCTCTTAGTGAACACATTCAAAGGTTACAAAGTTTTTGAGTTGTCGTCTCTTTTGCCACTGCAGGAGCAGATCATGGCGTTTGCAAGCAAGTGATGCATCAATCATGCAGTGGTCATTTGTGGATCTCCAGAAACTGAGCTTTAAATGCTGTAAAGATTGTGAATAAAAAAAATAAAATAATAAAGATATATTTTAACTCTTTTGTGATTTGTTTTCTGGTGTGTGCTTTGGCAGAAGTATATAGTGCACGACATTGCTGCTGCCCCAAGCATATCACATATCAAAAGCGTAAAGATTGTTGATTGGATCTTAGAATCCTGCACTATTTTGCGGCTACATCTGAATTATCCAAGAAGTATATCTAAAAGATGTAATATGAAGACATTTAAAGCACTCTATTCCCCAATGCAGAAACAATCAACGATCAACTACATGGTAATAGTGCTCTTTATAGTATTTTATAATAAGAAGTCTGACTCCATATAAAAAAAGTATCAATACACAAAAAGCATTTTTTTATGTTTTATTAAAACGTACTGTATAGTATAAACTTATTTCACTGGATTTAATAAACAACAATTTACATATTGTCAGTCATCAGGTTATTCATACTGATGAATATAGAGGCATTTCTGAGAAAATGTGCAGCATTAAGTTTTTGCAATGTAAAAGCAATTCCTGTCAAAAGATTTTACAAATAAAAGTTTATATTATGTATATACAGCAGTAGTTATTGAACATGTTGAATACTGGAAAGACAGCAAAGGCACGGCGCAAAGAGCAGTTACACAGAAAGTTCAAGAGTTAATATTGGATGAGGGTAATTAAAATACTCTACATTAAACGATAAACTTAGTTATTTAAATATTTGTACAGTTCACAAGAAAAATGACAAACAGACAATGTTTTTGAGCCACCAGCAACAAAGTGGGTCGTGGGTTTCAGACTTTTTACATAATTTCTGTTAACATTTTTGGCTGTATTTAATAGCTGTAAATTATGTTGATGGGTGCACTATCCACCCTTGATGAGAGGTTTTTCTATTGCTAGTCTGAAATAAAGTTCAGACACAGGGGCCCTGCAATTTAGCCATGCTTGATAGGGTCTTTTCCACTCTAGACACAACAAACAATAATGGCTGGACTCTAAAATACAGGAATTAACCTCAAACATGTAACAGCTGTACAAGAGAGTCTATGAGAGGCAGCTCTCCACAGCGCTTTCTCTGACCCCCTCCGTCATATTGAATCCAACACTACTTATATGTACAAGTTTTCATCGAAACATCAAAGCAACTGATCATGTCTTAGCTACAATATCTGCAAGTGTTATGTGCAAAGTTGAAGAAGTCAACTGCTCTGTTTCCAATTATGTCTAATTTGTCTAAGGCTAAGGGCAAATTAATTAGAGTCCTGTAAAGTAATTTACTGCTAGAATAAAAAGATTGATTTATAAGCATTTAGAAAGACAACTGGTTGCATTTCCAGCAACTAGTCTCTAAATCCACTGTACTGCACAGTGCACACCAGGACCACAGTAAGCACCAAAATACCATGACTGGTTGTACTGCTTAACTTACCTCTACACACTTAACAGGTAGGTGAGAAAGACATTTCAGATCAGACACCCATAAGGAATCAAAAATGTAAACGTTTTACAAAAAAATAAAGTCAGCCCACCAGTCATGAGCTCAACATACAGTAGAAATAGCTGGCCTTATAAAAAATATAGTGATTTTTTCAACAGTTCTCGGAGTGTTCGCAAGGGTGCTGAGGTTGAGGATAAGAGGAGGGGCGTTGTGGGACCGGGTGTGTCTGCGAGGGGGACGGGCTGATCGAGGGTGGAGGGAGGAAAGGAAGCCCCACAGTGACACACTGTCCCTCTCAGTGCCGGCTGCAGTGACAGCGAGCTGTCCTTAGTGGATATTGAAGTTTCTGAAGTAGTCGAAGGTCGCCCCCAGCGCCCAGCTCGTCTCCACATTGTTCACCTTCTTGGCTAGCTGTTGAACAGAGTGACAACAGGGTGTCCATTATGACCACAAAGAAACAATTTCCTACTGCTAGTGTCATATTGAGTCCCACATCTACTGTCAGTGGCTCTGATTTTCTCACCTGCAGCACAGTACTGTCCTTGAAGCCAAAGCCCTCCTTTAGCAGACAAGTGATATATGTCATATCCATGCAGAGGAAGGGGCTGATAGCACGATATTTGGTCATTTTGTTGCACACTGCAAACACAAAAAGCCACAGGTTTCAGATGTGACATTAACAAAGGTTTCACATATTGATGACAAAAAAGCATTTGACACCATGTTGCATCATATAATGGAGTCACGTTCCACGTATTAACAAAAAAAACACCTTTTCTAACCCCTGTGCTACATGATTAAAAGATGACCTCTCAGTTTTGTTTGGCTGAACAAACAGGGAGGTGCGAGGAGAACGGCTGAGGGTCAGCACAAGGCTGAGGGTGGGTGGCGGTGTTAAACAGCCTAGTACACAGTTTGTGTGTTTCAGTATGTGTCAGCCGCCAGGTGGTGTGTGGCTGTCAGGTGCCCTCCTGCCTGGGCCAGACAGACATCTTCAGCTCAGCTGCCAGCCAAGCCTGAGCCAGACTTGTTCCTCGAGACCATGTGACAGTGTTCTCACAACACAAACAGCCTTACATAACACACCAACTTGTTCCTACTTGCTATAAATTTGGTTCTACATGGACATTACAAGTGTCACACACTCAAGCTGATAAGCATTGTGTGTATTGGTTAAACATATTAAAACATTTTATAGCGATGTTAACATATATTTACTCTATAATGAACTACATTCGTCTTATAATCCATCTTTATAACACATTTAAGCAAATAATCGGTTACATTTTACTGCTGTAATAAATTCTTTTTTGACAGGATAAGCTGTGCCAATTTGGTGCAATTGTGCCAAGTGTTTGGGCACAAACAAAGTTTAGTGCTTTTGCTGTTTAGACTGTGTTGCATGAAGTTGCAGTGGTTTGATGACTGATATATATAACTTGTAAGATTGTTGGTTTCACGCATAAGTTTATCCATCCCTAGAGAAGATAGCATGTAACTCTTACCTTCTTTGGCTCTCTTCTTAAAATCCCTGACTTCAAGTGCACCACCTCGACTGCCATCTGTGCAGAAAAAAACATGCAATTTGAGTACCTATTTTGTGCGAAAGATGATAATTAGCATAAGAGATAATGGTCCTGGAAGGTGACTCCTCGGTCTGTGCCCACTCACCGATGAGGCCAGTGTCCACAGCTCTGTCGTAGTAGTAAGAGAAAGCGTAAAAGACGCTGCTGCCCTTCACTTCATAAGGCTGGTGGAATATTCCTTTGATTACCTTCATCACCTCATAGTAGCACAGTTTATAGCCCGCATAGCCTGAAGAGAGAGGAAAAAGGTAAATATGGTTTTGCCAAAGAGTTGCTTAACTAATACTGAAAACAGTGGAGCAAACAATGAGTTAAATGTGCAATGGTTGAAATGCAAGCGGAAGAGTCTGGAGCCTCAGTTTGAGGTCACCCATGGGTTGAAGCTGGGGGCCTACCACCAGATAATATACAAGGGAAGCCCCAGAAGGACAAGTTTCACACAGCCCCAGGGGTATGGTTGGCGAAGTTGTGCCGGCAAAACCATGTGCTGACAAGAGCGGCGGCAGTTAGCGCGGCCCTGTTGGGCTGTCTATTTTTACCACATAATTGTGAGCGGTCCAGATCAAGCCGCTCGTTACACAAAAAAAATAACAACTCAGGGACAAGCCCAGCATCTTTTGGCTACTTGACTGTGGTATGGGAGTGACTGCCTTATTTGTGAAGTTAACTGACAGTTTTCTTTTCGTTTAAATACAAGGTTGACTGCAGTATAATTGTTCAAGAGGGAGGACAGAGAGAGAGAGTATGACAAAACATGCGTTTGGCGCCAAGGTTACATACACTTGAGCGGATAAATGTTCTCATGTGAGACTGTATTATACTGTACTCTATTGTGTTCTGGAGCTGAGAAAGGAATGCATGGATTGCTGGATCCAAGGCACTGGGAAGGAAATCAAAACCTCAGGGTGCTTTTATCTTACCGTCTGGAATCCCGCTAACTTTGTAGGTGGTTCCTCCAAAAGTCACATCTTCTCTGAACTTTTTCGGGAGGCAGGAACTTGTGAAGACTTTCCAATCTAGACCTGGGAAAACAAAAACAAGACAGTTTACCATCTCCCAACGAAAGAATAACACAGAGTGCAAGCAGGTGATTAAAGGTGCTAGATACTCTACCATCAGCTCCTAGTGCTCCAAGAGTTGCCAGTCGAGCTGCATACAGTCCATTTCCAAGGTAGCTATGTGATGGTGACATACAATTTTGGTAAGTTTTACTGTACAGAACACTAATATATGAGTTTTCGCATGCAAAACCAAATACATAGAGAATAGGCTATCTTCTTGGTTATTTACCTGTGTGTGTAGAGCTGATATGTATGGTTGAAGAGATCGAATTTGGCAATGTAACTGGAAGGACTGGACTGAACTGTTTTCTGTTGGATAAACAACAAAGGTTTAGTGGTGTATTTTTTAACATTTTGAAATGTATTAATCACATAAATCATTTAATTCACCTTTGACTTGGGAAGGAATGTGATCTGTGTAGATCCTCCACCCAAATCCAGGATGCCCACTGTCTTCCTTGTGTTGGTGTACAAGTGACCTATGGAAAAATAAAAGTTAAGGTAAGGGAAACTAAGGATAAGCTGCTATCCATCATCAGTGCAATAAACAGAGCACACTGTGTAGTCTTATTCCTTTTACAACCACTAGTGTCAGAATGATGCATGCTTACAGATCATGTCTTTCCCCACCAAGAGGGAAAATACCTTTTTGGTTTGAGGCTTAATGTAGCTGTTTTAAATAAATTTGGTGTTGTGCCACAGATGTGTGAAAAACGTGAGGAAATATTGCTTGTTTTTGCAAACCTGTCTGGGGCCAGTGATTCAAGCTCATAACCTCAGACAGGAGACAAGAGTCTTTCACTGCCGGGCTTCTGTGTACACTGGAGCCTCAGATATGAGCCTCCTGACCACTAACACCACCATAGCAAAACACAAGCAATGTCTTACCTGTAAGGAAGTTCACTGTGACCCAGGCGAGGACTCCTAAAAAACAGAACACGGGTGAAAGTGTCTGCATTAGTAAAAGCCTGAGAAGTGATTACAACTGACCTACATGTTCAAGCACAGAGAATAAACAATAAAGTCCAGCTCTCTTTCATTAAGCTCATATTAAAGCAGCAGAGTTGGTGTAACTAACATGCAGTGCTGCAGACAAGCCCAGGTAATTACAATTGTCTCATATGTCAAGTTATTGCGCTCATAAAAAAAAAGAGGATAATGAATGGCACATAGTGTATGATGAAACATGACATCGTGAGGGTGTCTTAATGAGTGATGTGGAGGATCGCACTAAATTATTGGGCGTGGGGCGAACTCACACTGGCATATTTATTTGTCTCAATGAGGTAGTAACAGACCTCTCGTAAAAAACATTATGAGAGCAGTGTTGTTTGATACAGCCTCAGTGAATGAGGCAGTTAAAGCACCTGGTCAGACACTATAAAACTGAAAATCTCGTCATCCTATTTTGTGGACTCTATATACAGTAAAAGACAACCTACCTTCTTTTGCTCCATTCATGATGGAAACACTGTTGTTTGGCACGAAGAAAGGGGACTCATCAAATACATCTTGTACCTGTGGAATAGATTTATCACCATTTCATTACAATAATTTACTGGACGTGTAAAAGCCATACAACGACACTAGACAACACACCCGGATACTCTTAGGATATAGTCTATTCAGGCTCCAGAAGACGAGCTGTGTCTGTTCTGTTTTAGAGTGACAGATAACTCAGCCACAAGCAAGGCTGAAACAGTAGCCCGGATTTAATACTTTAAATGACAAATATGGTTACTCCACACAACCCCACAACAGCTGTTTTTTTGCAACATGATAGCCACCAAATGGGCAGACTTGCTGCCTTTTTTTTCAGTGACACTTGTAAGCACTTAGTGGTTTCTTATCCCGCTCCTTGGCGGGACGGGTAGTGTTTGTGCCAAACTGTCTGAGGGCAGAGAGAAAATGTGCCTCACCTCCTTCAGAAGAGCGTTGGCCTTGTCTTCAGGCAGCAGGCGCAGACCCGCTGTGGCCTTCAGGACCACTGGGGTCCTCTTCCAATCCTCCTCTGGCACTGTCTTCTTGGCAATCTTTAGCAACTGCCGGATGGTGTTGCCACCCTGCAGAGGAGGAAGAATGATCGTCAGAAGAGACGTTTCATAATCAAACTATGACATTTCATCAGTGATCAAAGTCTTTCAAAAAACATGTGTAAGTCAAAGGAAGGTAAATACAGCAGAAAGGAGTGGGCAGGGTTGATATCGTCAGCATCGGCATTTTCTGTAATTACGCAGTGTTTACATCACATGAACCCAACCCAAAGAAAATCCCAGTGGTTTGGTGATTTGCAGACTCTGAACAACTCCCTAATATACCTGATAATTAATAATAAATGATGGTGTAAACAGGCATACATACCTCCTCTGGGTTGTCCTTATAAGCAGACAGTCCAGGCTTCACTGCATGGTACATTTCATTGTCCAGAACTGGCAGCTCGACTGAAAAAGAAGTCAGTGTCGGTGAACAGATCATATATCAGACAAACTGTATATGATATTCCAGGATATAATAGAAACTTAAGTACATGTAATTGCATAGCTTCTCTTTTTCAACTTATGATATTTAGACTGCAGCATTTCACCTACATCCTGATTCAGTTTTAGAGGTCTGCTTCCTACACAGTTGAGTCAGACAAGCAAATTAAAAGTCCACCTCAGCTACTTTTAGAAGCTGTATTGCCCATTGCACGGTGCCGGTGCATGTTTGTCCTTACACCACACAGTGAATGACCTAACAGCAAGCAGACAGAGTGGGAGCCAGCAGCATGTGCAAAGCCCAACTATTGGTTTAAAGAGAGAGGGAGAGAGGAAAAGAGAGAGAGAGAGAGAGAGAGAGAGAGAGAGAGAGAGAGAGAGAGAGAGAGAGCGAGAGAGGTGCATTTACCAGGGTCTTTCTGGATGAACTTATAGATGTGGATCCTGCTGCCTGTGCTACCGGCATCAAACATGATCCCGTAGAAAACCCGGGTCATGTTGACAGGGGAGGAGGCTTCAGGCACCGGCTGGTAAACCTCAGGTGATGGGTAGTAAGGCTCAGGTGCCGGATGCACGACTTCGGGCACCGGATGGAAAGCCTCGGGTATGGGGTGGATGACTTCAGGTACCGGGTGGAACACCTCGGGGATCTCGGGGAAGGTCGGCACGCCGGGCTGCGAGACTTCAGGCACCGGGTTGGAGACCTCAGGGAGGAGATTTTCCGCGTTGGCGGAGTGCTCCCGGTAGCGGTAGAAGTGGGGGACGTAGCGGTGGTGCCGGTAGTAAGTCGCCTCCGCGCAGAGGCTCCCAGCCAGGAGCCACACGGATAAAGTGAGGAGCAAGCTCGGCGTGGCCATTGTTTTCACAGCCGGGGAGAAGAGATAGCTGGAGTTTAAGAAAAGGTTGAGAGCTGAGGAGAAGAAGCCCTTGTTGGATGCTGAAGTTAAAGATTGAGAAAGAGCTGGAGGAGATGGAGAGAGGCAGAGTGGATGCGATGCACACTCAGGACTGTCCGGTCATCTGTTTACAGTATATAAAGACATAAGGGCTTGGCATGGGGCCACACCGAGAGCAGCCATCCACCAATCCTGTGGCGGTACATCCCAGCTCCATCAGGAGAGTCCCCCCTTCTGTGAGCTGAGCTGGAGACTGACTACCTGCCTTTTTTTTTTTTTTTTTTTTTTTTCGGAGGGGGGAGGATTATTTTTGGTTATGTTTTTCCCCTCCTCATCTTTACTGGTTATTTTGGAGCCAAAAAAATCCCCTTAGGAAAAAGAGAAAGGGGTTTATAAAGAAGTCAAAATGAATGGCTCACACTGAAATAACCCAAAAGAAATGGTCTTAAAATACGTTTTATGGGTGCATTAAAACTTACATAGTAACTTTCCCCAGAAATTCCTTCACCCTGCAACTCTTTGGACTTTAAGTGTGACTGATGAGTGATATAAAGGCACATCTATAGAGGGTTTTTTAAATTAACTATAATTAAAAATGTAACAACTTCACATTTTTTATAACAATTAAAATTTTTATTTTATTACAATTTTCTAACGTTTACACTCATTAAAAACAAACAAACAAAACAAAAAACAAAACTCCAGAATTACCATGTACGTACTGGTACTTAAGCTTTATTTAAACAAAATCTTGGGCCTTTGTGGTAAAGACAATACATTAAACAATGAAACTACAACTCCTATTTTTGACAGAAAATGTGACTCATATCTTGTAGGTAGAGTTAATTCCACTTTTTTTTTTATTAGTCATCACTACCTCTGCTAAATCATGTTCAGTAGCTGGAATGAATCATAGCTACATGTATTAAAAAAAATTCTTTCAACCTCCTCGTCATGATCCTACAATAATCACCACATTAAATCTACTGCAGCCCTTTCACCAACCTTAAAAAATGCAAATGTGACCTGCACTCCAGCTGGCATAAAAGTTAAAAGAATGTTAGCAATCATCTCACTCCCACTCATCCCTGTGTTAACCACAGGCTTTCCAAGGGAAAAATATTTGGGCAGCAAGGCACGTTTCACGAGAGAATGCATGAAAAGCATGAGTGGCTGTTTCTGCACTTTAGGTGGGTGGTTGGCATGGCATCATAAGCCATGCTGTAGTGTATCAGCTAATGCTTTCTCATGTAATGTTCAGAGTTACTGGCTTTAGTGGGGGATGCAGAGGCATCAAGGATATCCCACAGCTGCGGAACTCAGAGGCATAGCAACTCAGAGACCTTACATGAACTGAGATTTGTACCGAGCTGTGATATTTTCCACCCACTTTGTATCAACAGAAAAAGGACAGAGATCTGAAACAGGAGGCGCTGGTAGTCTAGCAATTGAGGCATCCCTGAGGAACTGACCCTGCCCCAACCCTGACTTAACATGTGCTTATTTGAGACCTCATGCAGCGGGCGACTGAGACAGAAACCAAGCTTTTGGCCAGCCCAGCCAGGAGGGTAAGGGGAGGGCAGAGGTCCTGCAGATGGGCACAAGAGAGTGCGGGAAGTCCACAGAGAGGACAATGTGGGGAGGGTGGGGCTTGGCACCAGTGTTCACCCATCATGCCATTCCACTCCCAGGACACTCGACTGTGCAAAGCACTGTTCCAACACTGTAATTTGGACTAAAAATATTGGACTTTCTTTCCTCCTTCCTTTTTTCTAAATACTGTGGCTACTTTTTTCAACCCTGTGGCTCACCAGAATGGTCGTTCGACCCTATCAAAGCGTACATGTGCAGGACCTCTCGCTGACTTGTGCCCATAGATGTCTTGGTTGCATGTTAACAGTGTGATAATGTGACTAATGACTGGATGAAAATGTCAGATTAGAAATATTAAAGAAGTCGTTGTGTCTGGAGTGTGTTTTTATTTTGAAATCACTGTTTGCTGTTCATTTTTTTTAAATGTTCAGACACATCCTGTGGTTAAAGTAGCAATTAATTTGGATAATGAGCAGTGTTTGGACAGCTCCAATCCACCTTAGGCCATTTGATGCATGAATCACAGCATGTTTTCATTTTAAAAACACACCTACATTTGTATAACCATTATCGTGTGATGCAATGGGAACTGCCCTTAAAGGGAAATGCCAAACAAATTCGGATTTCACAACATACATTTTGAATATTCATTCTACAATAACGTACAAAATCTATTGAAAAATCTATACATTGCCAAATCATGTTAGGAAGTCCTTCAAATGTGCACAGCTACGGTATGAACTGTGTGTAAAGTGCCCCTCTACAGCATGACACAGCACATTACAAACAATGTTTTAACAGAGAGGTAGTTTCAATACAAGTTTTGGTATTTTCTTTCAAGTTAAGTGAAACCGTAAAGCATGAGAAGGGACCCCAGCTTTGTAATCTGCACTGTGCAATATATCATTAATATGCTGCAATGTTACCCTCAGGAATGCCATGTTTGTGGGTGTCCTACCCCAAAAAGTCCATTGAAGAGACCCAAACCTTGTCATTACAATTCCAATGATAATGACAGCTTTGAAAGGCTCAGGGTTATTTCAGTTTTCTCTCCTCACTGTCATAGTAATTACCTTTAAATTTAGTCTTCAAACTCTGTTCATGATGCCAGAGGAGAGAGCGACCCTATATGATTCAGTTTACAGTAGCTACACCCAACACTTTTGCGATATCTACTTTTTTGTTTGATGAATAATCTACACCGCCACTCTCAAGCTCCATGCAGAGAGCTAAACAAGATAATGGAGAGAATTTAGTGGTTTTGGGCTTGAATTACGACCTGCCCTAACTTTACATTGTGTCTTTTGGATGAGCTACTTGGAAGGATGTAAGCCAGCTGCATTTACGTTGATCTTTGTGGTTTTCCCATAACTACAGCAAAAAACAACAGTGGGGATGGCAGCGAGTAACACATAGTTCTTTTCAGGACAACATGGACAATACTGCTGACAGGAGCCAAATGTATCTCATGTCATCATGTGGGTGGAGATCATGTGCAAACAGATCCTGTTTGATAGAGCCCAGCATGAGAAGACTGTAATTACAAGACAAGTGACAAATACAGCCATTCTGTGTCAATCCAGAGGCTGTTGAACAGAACAGACATCTGTATCTTATACAGTGTCCCACAGCGATTAGTTATTGGTTGATTGATCAATTAAAACTGTATGCAGGAGAAACTCACAAGCACTCCCTTCGCAAAAGGAGAGATATAAAAAATAAAACAGCAAAGAAAAGTTTAAAGAAGCGATAGCTGATGATAGATAAATTAAAATAAGGAAAGGGTGTCTCATTGAGCTGGTGATGATTTGTTCAATGATTAAAACACACTTGAGAAACTCTTGAGAAAGAGGGTGCCAAGCCCAACATATTCTAAAGGCTACTTGTAGGTATTCTGAGATCATCAATCAATGAGTCAACTGACCGAATGAATCACCAACAATCTTGTTATTGGACAACAAAATGTCAGACACTTGCTGGTTCAGTTTCTCAAATGTAAGGATTTGCCGTTTGGTTTATATCACGGTAACTGGCAAAGAAATTTAATAATCACCTTGTACTGGTACGAGGGACTGTTTTCTTTACGGACTAAATCATTTATTAATCAGATTGTTCAATAATGAAAATAATTGTTAGTTCCTGGCCAAATCAATTTCTAAAAGGAGATGGCACTAAGAAAATGTATTTTATACTGAATGTTGATATTTCAGAAGGCTCACAAATAACGTGAGCAGATTTTAAATTAAAACTTTATAAATGAAAAGGAGGCAGTGTTGCTATCCCCACAGGACAGAGCAGAGACATCCAATTTTTTAAAAGAATACAACAATGAGTATGTTTCATGATTTTAAAATGTACATAGATTTTATAAGGTTGGTGATGTTAATTAGTAATTATATTTTAGTGCATCTTCTCAAAATATTTGTATTTTTATTTGAATTTTATTTGTATTATCAGTATTATCCAGTATCTTACTGTTGATCTCTGTAGCATACTTACCAGTTTATTATACCTGTACATAACTCTCTCTGTGTGTGTAAGGACTACAGTTAATAGATTAATAATCATAATGAGTACTGAGAATAATAATTATTTCCAATGTTCCATGTAATTCAAATAAAGCACCTACAGACAATGCAGTATTACACTAACCATGAATATTAATCATTGCACATATTTAGAATTAGAATATGGTTGTAGTCTTTAGAGTTAGTTCAATTTGTAGTTAAGATTTTAGTTATTTATGTTTTATATTACTATATGTGCTTGTATCGGGATCAGAACTATAAATCTGTCGAAATGGGTCAAACTGAAATTAAATTTTCTTACGATATGCATAAACCAAATGGTTGAGTTATGCGTTTTACAGACATTATTTATACTCGCTAACAAACCTGAACAAGGTCGTGTGCATTATAAATATACAAGCACAGAAATTTGACCTTTTTCCGGCTACAGCGTCTCCATAGCAACAGCACCACACAAACATTCACAGCGGGGTTACACAGGAGCCTGCTACCGTTACCGTTGAGCCAAACGTTAACACTCCCCGGGGTAATTACCGTCTAACTTCTTAGACACCGGGTTGTTTTGTGTCGTATTTTGGCCGGTAAAAGGTAGCAGTGATGCCGAAGAAAAAAGTCGCCAAAGTAAAGAGGGCGAAAGCCGGGTAAGTGCGCAACGTAACATTTGCATCTAACGTTACTCTTCTTCTTCTTCTTTTTTTTTTTTTTTTTATTTGTTGCTGCATTGACGTTCAAATTATTTGTGTATTTTGTCACAGGAAAGGAAAAAAAGAAGGCAAACAGGAGTCAAAGGCGGACAAGGAGTCGGACATCGAGAAGGCCAAGGCCAACGCTGCTCTCTGGGAGCTGAGGTTACAGGTCACCGACCAGTCCCTCGTGCAGTACCGTGACGCCTGCCGCAAGTTGGCACGCGCAAACGAGGAGCTCACCAACCAGCTGTACCGCGCGGAGAAAGACAGCATCGATATAACAGGTTTTCTGAAGAGACAGGATGCAGTCAAAGAGGAGAAGGTAACGTTTGGTGTGTGTGTGTGTGTGTGTGTGTGTGTGTGTGTGTAAATGAACGTGGGAGATGAATAATGGAACCGGTTTTTATTATTTATTGCTGTCACTTATTA